CTTCCTGGGCGGAAACTTCCTGTACTGCACGGAGGTGGCGCCCATCCACCTGCGGACGGCGATGAGCGCGGTGTCCACCGCCAACCACTGGTTGTGGAACTTTGTGGTGGTGATGGTGACCCCCGTGGCGTTGGACACCATTGGCTATCGCTACTACGTGATGTATGCGATCATCTCCGCCTGCATCCCCATCTCGGTGGCGCTGTTCTACCCGGAGACCATGAACCGCAACCTAGAACTGCTCGACCATGCCTTCCGCGATGCGCCCACCCCGTGGAAGATCGTGTCAATGGCCCGCAAGTTGCCTCAAGGTGAGGTGACCGAAGCCGACCTTTACCAGCACGACAAGCACGAGAAGGAGCAATCGGAGGGATCTTTCGAACAGAAGGAACATGTTTAAGAGCAACGGAACCTTGACTACGACGCGGTTATGATAGACTAGCAATGACCCCTTTGCTCTTCTGTGTATATTGGCTTTTTTTTTTCTGGCATTGGGATTCTTGAGTATGTACATATGAGGATGATTGTGGGGGGCGGGGATGGGTAAGTGGGTATGGGCAGGAATGAAAGCTGCGCGCGCTGGACTAAATCAAATCTCACTTTCGAGGCCAATCTGACGTCCATCTGACCTGGTTAGAGGGAGGGTGACCGAAGGATTAATAATGTAAAACCGGGTTGAGGCCAATTCCACGACCGGGTGGAGATTTTGTGGAGGGCGGAGTTGAACACCTCCGTGGGGGTGGTTTGGTTAGGGTTGCCAGGTAACTTGGGCGAGACTTGGCAAGACTACACCGAATATCCTGTTTGGCTCTAACTCTAAGGTAAGTTAGTTACTGGTAACATTATTAGGTAGTTAATTTACATGTCAATTAAGTCAGGTCAGATGCCAATTCTCTCATCCCATTTCAGATGCTCACGTGATGTTTTCCATTTCCCATGAACCATTTCCATTTCCTCACTCCACCCTGCACAGGGTTCCAGTTCTGGACCCCTTACGTACCCCGTAAAGTGAGTACATACCTAGGTACGGATCTGGGTCCTGTGCCCGGCCGTAGTCTCGCATTCACCCAGCATTCTAATTTCAATGGTTGGGTAACCTTGCTTTCCCCCACTAGTGACATGCTTCCTGGCTTCTTGTTAGTCGGTTAATTAATCTTTCGCCGACCGACTTTAATGCGCTCCGTCCATCATTTCCGATCAGCATGAAGCCTGCCTCCCCCACTGCTGCTACTGCTGCTACTGCTGCTACTGCTGCTGCTACCACGACAGCCACGACTACGCCATCCGATGTGGAAGGCAACTGGCCGACGCCGGCCCCTCGGGCCAAGCGGCGCAAGCGGGCCTCGACAACGGGGACGTCGCGGCCCTCCCCCCGCGAGCTTGGCATCATGCGTAAGGATGATACTTCCGCTAGCTTTCTCGGGAGTTCGAGTGGCATTCACTTTGTCCGCACTGTCTATCACGCTTTTGCTCGCCGCTCCGCCGACCTGCAGCAGCAGCAGCAGCAGGTTCGTGCCGGCCATGAGAGCCTGGTGCCCGGGGAGGATGACCACCTCCGCACCGGTCAAGGCCAGGCCCACGCCCCCCTGTGGTCGACTGATGAGCTCGATCTGACCACCCCCAGACTCTCGTTCGACCAATTGGTGCAACTGTCGCATCAATATTTCCAGAACTGGCACCCCATCTACCCCTTTATCCATGCTCCCCATCTCCTTCGTGCCCTGGAGCAGACAAGCCAAGAAGGGATTCAGTCCATTAGCCGGACGGATGCCGTGCTCATCCGCTCCGTTATGTCCATCGCCGCAATTGACACCCGACAGGCACCGGGGGGAGCATCAGCCGCACCGGTGGCTATGCCGGCCGAGCTGGTCTTCCAGACGGTGCACGACGCCATGAATGGTCTACGCGGTTTGCTGGACGAACCCTCGTCCATCCCCTTGTTGCAGGCAGCCGTCAGTATCCAGTTGTTTCTGACCTCCATTCTACGCCTCAATGCGGCGTCGCGGATTGGAGGCTTTGTGACCCGCACCGCGTTCCATCTGGGTCTACATCGCTGTCCGGCGCGGTATTCGTGCTTCAGCCCGGAAGATGTGCTGATCCGTCGTCGGCTGTTCTGGTCGATCTACTGTCTCGAGCGATACTTGAATCAAGCCCTTGGGGTGCCCCTTAGCATTCGGGATGACGACTTGGATGTATGCTATCCCGGAGCCGAACGCCATACGCCGGACAACGGTGGAGAAGTGACGATGGGTACGACGCCGGACGACCAGCGGCTCAAGCTCCTGCGCCACCTGGCCAAGTTCGCTCGTCTCCGGGGGCTGATCTCGGAGCTACGCAACAAATCCATTATGCACAGTCGGGAGAATCTGGTGGAGGCAGCGGCGGTTGATCGGGCTCTTCTGCAGTGGTGGAATGAGGTGTACGATGATGTCTATCCGCTGGCATGCGACGGAGAGCCGGCTGAGGCATCGTCCCCGTTGCAGCCCTTCCATGCCCTCCTGCTGGTGGTTTCGCGCCACGAGGCCAAGATTGCGCTGCACCGCCCGTTACTGGCCGCCGACAATCCGACCACCGCCGATTACAAAGCGGCCTTTCTCACCTGCATCAATTCCTCCCGGTCGTTGCTGGCCGCCTTGCATGGCTACATCACGGCTCCCCCCGGCGACAACCGTCCTCCGCTGATCGTCGCCTCCTTCACCTGGACGGTGTGGATGTCGTGTCTGATCCTGATCTACGCCGCCTGGACCCGCCACTTCTCTAATGAGGGTGCTCTCCGCTACGCGCGCATCGGGATTGCTGTACTGCAGAACATTGCCCGCCGGGAACGCGAGTGGCCGCAAACCTGCATTCAAGCCATTGAGGATCTGTGCTCTGCTCTCGAGAACAACAACCACCACCACCACAACCGGACCGGCAGCGACTTACGAGTGCCGCAAGTGGAGAGTATGTATAGTGCGAATAATCATAGTACCGGCGACCGTCCCGATGCTATCCGCATTGCCGAGGATCCGATCGGACTCCGCGGGGAAGATTCCTCGCCCCGGCCCAGCAGGCCCAGCAGCATGGCCCCGGAAGCCTGGGACAATCTTCCGATGCCGCCGCCGCCCTCATTCGATCCTACTGCCGTGCTCTCCACTCCTGATCTCTACAATGCCGCAAGTATGGTGTTTGGCGATCTGGCCGGCTCCGGATTTTCCTACGGTATGGGCGGGCTGGGTCTGGGCCCGGAGTCGGCGACTGTCGTCCCTTTCCAGTCTGACCCATTCTTGATGAACGAAGGCTGGAGTGTGGCGGATGGGCCTTGGTTGCTGCATGGTGATTTCAATGTGTGATCTGGTGGATTGACTGGCAAGTGAATGGACAATACAAACCGGACAAAGAAACCTCCGCGATCGGGCCGGAGCAAAACTCCTCCGCCGCCACTCACCAAGTTAAATGCTGACTCATACCATCTTCCCCCTCCATCTCCCCACTCACGTGATTAGCCCAGCCGCAGCCAGAGAGCAACGCAACGGAACGAGGAACAACTACTTCCACCGATCGCATTTCACCAATACTTATCGCATTGGCTGGTGGAGTATGTGTCTTGGGTTCTCGTCCGTTTCTTAATACATATGGTATCCATCCTCCTTCATTACCTCCCTGCCCGCACTTGCAACCCCAGACTTTACATGTCCAACGTCCACAATGATCCCCGACGAGACCATCGATCGCCTCTTGGCCCACGTCCGCCCCCACATCCAACGCCATGTTGACCAGCAGGCTGCAGACCCCAGTCAACGGAAACCCTTCATCCTGGCCCTGACCGGTCTACAGGGCAGCGGCAAGACCACCTGGACCTCCGCCCTTGTGCGGTCGCTGAACGAGAAACACCACTTCCGCACCATCAACGTCTCTCTCGACGACTTCTACCTGCCGCACGAGGGCCTGGTGCGCCTGCGCCAGTCCAACCCGGCCAATGCCCTGCTCCAGATGCGCGGCCAGCCCGGCACCCACGACACCGCGCTGGTCCGCGAGTTCTTCGACAGCTTGACCGTGACCACAGAAACTTCGCCGCGGGTGGTCTGCATCCCCGAATTCGACAAGAGCCGCTTCCACGGCGAGGGCGACCGCGTGCCCCGCGACGAGTGGCGCCACGTCCCTGTCTCGCTGGACTCGCCGGTGGACGTGCTGGTGCTGGAGGGGTGGTGTGTGGGCTTCCAACCGCTGAGTGAAGAGGCCATCGAGGCCAAGTGGACGGCGGCCAAGGCGCATCCCCCGGAGTCGGGGGCGGCGGGCTCGGACTCCGGATTCCCCACGCAAACCCTTCAGAACCACGAGCTGTCCAGCTACTTCACTATCAACGCCAGCCTGCGCAACTACTGCGACATGTTCATGGGGCCCCACCACCTGGACTTTCTGGTGCATCTCGACACCGACGATCTGGCCAACGTCTACCGCTGGCGCATGCAGCAGGAACATGCCCTGCGGCGGGTGAAGAATCAGGGCATGACGGACGAGGAGGTTGTGGCGTTCGTCCAGGGGTACATGCCGGCCTACGAGCTGTATTTGGATCAAGTGCGCGAGGGCATCTTCCGGGGGTTGTCGGAGGAGGAGCGTGCGCGCAAGGGGCAGGCGAGAGTGGTTCTGGGGCAAGATCGGACGGTCCTGGATATTGTTGGCTATAACTAAAGTGCGCGGGACCAATCTCTCGGGACCTCGCTGGTTGAAGTCCTCCGGCAACAACGAGATATGAACATGAATATGTATATGTATAAGAATGTCTCTAAGTCCCCTGGTGCCTGACGGCTCAGGCATCAAGCATTGCTTCACCTCGGCAATGACGTAAGAATATCAGTTAGTGCCGAAGATCGGAAGTTGGAGGGCTGCCACCATCCCCGGCATTGATTTCCGGCATTGTCGCGAGGCGCCAGTCGACATCGCACGGCATCGATGGCCAAATGCGCGGCACGTATATCGATGCGACTTCATTATGGCCCAGCCTGGTGCAATCGATGTCGTCAAACTGCTCCGAATTGGTTGCCGAGCTGCGCCTCCGAGGACCCCTGCGAGCAGTCCCGCAGCACCGGCACTTGCACTCTCTCCGACCGGCGCGAGAGCAGGACCTTCCGCACGATCTGGTTCGCGTCCGACGCGCCCTCCTCGCTGGTTTCTAGATCGTTCAGCTCGGGGACGACCAGCGATGCGCGCTGCGCGGTGGATGTCACGCCGGCCTGCTGGGACTCGGCGAACGGGGGGCTGGCGGGACTCCGATGGAAGGGGAACGAGGGGGGGAACGAGTGCCGGAAGAGCTGGTGGGAGGATGTACTGGAGCGCTGCGTGTCGCGGCCTCCGCGTCGAGTGATCAGAATATGGATCGCGGGGATACACGAGCAGATGAGGGCGAATCCGCCTTCCGCATTACTGCTTGGCATTAGCTCAACCCCGACTGGGTGGTACAAGGTAGGAACACCTACCCCGACAGTAAGATCTTCAAGTATACGATGGTTGACTCCAGGTTATCCTCCTCGTGGATGACCAGCACGAGGCGGTAGATGCTGAACCCGATCGCCAACCCGCCGCAGCCCATCATCAGCGAGACCTTGAGCTTCTTGACGTGCGAGAGGTGCAGCGTGATGGTCAGGAAGGCCGGGAGCAGCATGATGGCCAGATCCGTGGCGATGCTCATCACCGCGTCGGCGAGGATCACGGCCATTTTATTTAGGCACTGCGCTTCCTCGTCGTAGTGGGTCCAGAAGTACGAGACCGGCAGGCAGATGAAGACCTTGATGAAGAAGATGATCGTGTAGTAGATCACCGTCACCACCAGCACCGAGTACACGCTGATGACGTGCACGTGGCGGATGGTGAAGATGCGCGCTAGGATGGAGAGCAGGGTTATCTTGACGGTGAGGACCATCGGGGCGTAGATTACGGTCAGAACATAGTAAAACTGCGGACGAGAGAGTCAGTGGAGGAGTATTTGCATTGGGGTGGCCCTGGCCACGGTGCTTGCCTTGTAGACGAGTCGGATCTGGTAGGGGGTCAGCAGGGCAAGGGGTTTGCCGCCGCCATAATGGAGGTCTGCGGTAGTCTAGTTAGTGGACATGACTCCACAGCGGCAGTGAATTGGAGACTTACAGAAGATGTTGCAGATGCAATAGGTGAAGAACAGGACCTGAAGCACAATGTTAGAGGAGAGCAGCCATCGGGCGGCGGGTAGTTAGAGTCTACCCAGGATAGAGTGCAAAATGCTGGTATACAATCATTAGATTTGGTAGACGGCCAGAAAAAGAGATGTCACAAACCGTCCTCAATATTCAAATCTCGCTTGATCCGGGAAGCAACCAGCAGGCGCAGGGCCAGGCAGAGGGTGGTGATGCTGCAGCACAGGATCTGCGTCACCAAGCTGATGGTGCGCAGATATTGATCGTGGACCGGGATCATTGGGGTGAGCAGCGGTCAGCATTGCGGTCCAGCGCGACAAGACAAGGGATTCGTCTAGAAATGAAGGGATTGAAGCTGGGTTTGGAGTTCTGCAAGAATGAGGTATGCGGAATGCAGGGGAGGCAAAATGTGGAGAAGAGAATTGGTGAAGTTGGGGCTTGGCTTCCGACGTCATGGATGCCGCGAGGTTCCATGGTCCACCTCAGCCCGACCATTAAACATCATCGGATGTTTACCCAGGTGAAGATTTCGGATTTGCGGGCGCATTTGTCATGTATGCGACGAGTTGACCCGATAGCAAAGTAGGGTTGGTATGCAGCTACCCTAACGCCGCCAAACAAGTCGATCGGCGCATATTTGAAACATTCTTACAGGATAAAAGGACAAAGAGAGAAGAATTTATTTCAGATCAAAGGTTAAATAAAGCATAAATATTCGCCAACACATGGGTCTCACAACTGGAAACGAAAGTCCGGATGAGCATCGCCCAGATCCTGCATGCTCTCCGACTGCCAGTCCTGCTCCGGCTGACTTTCCCGGCGGCGATTTTCGGCGCGGAGAGCGAAGAAATACACGGTGCAGGCCAGTCCTGCCACCACTGCGAATGCCAGACCAACCCCAAAGCCAGTAGGGTACTTGGGCGCTTCGCTGGTGATGAAGACGTTGCCGGATACAAAGGCACCACAGTTACCGAACGCGGGCAGCAAGCCCATTCCGACGCTGCGCTTGACGCCCTTGCCGAGGTTGATACACAACCACACCACGGTGATAGACATCATGATGAACGCGCCCGATGCCACGAAGAACATGCCCATATAACGGACTCCAGCAGAGGGGACCTGCGCAAGCTCGATACTCCAGCCGATTATGACCAGCGCCGATCCGAACAGCGTGAAGAGATAGCGGTGGCGGAGATAGTCGCTCAGCCACGCGCTTGACAAGGTAAGCACGAAGGCGACTGCATAGACAGGAATGCTGTGCTCTTGCGCTGAGCGACTGGTCCAGCCGAGGTCCTTGAGAATGGTGGGCTGGAAGTACACCATCGAGCTGGCACTTTCTTCGGCGGCGAGGTAGGCCAAAACACTGGTCTCCATGTCAGTGCATAGTTCGACTCCTAGACGTAGCAGACATGCTCACCAGATCCAGATCTTCCAGTCCATCGCCATCTTCAGGACCCGAGGGAGAGAGATAGGATCATCACGAATGCTTCCGCCATCGGCCTCCAGACGGGCAAGCAGCAGTTCCTTCTCCGCAGGGGTCAAGAATGTCGCGTCCTCGGGAAAGGGAACAACGATCCAGTAGCAAATAATGCTGACGCCCATGGTGATGATTGATTCGATCAGGAAGAGCCTAGTCTTGCGTCAGAAGACAGTATATGCCCGCCGAGGTCAAGGGATCCATACCATCTCCATCCCGCATATCCGTCCAACTCCAAGTGCGTTAAGAGACTTGAGAAGAGCTAACGAGCCAGTCAGACAGACGTGTCGAGAGTAAGCATGATAGAAACTGACCCCATTGAACGCTCCTGCCGCCATGTTGGCACTGAAGAAGATTGCGTATCGACGCAGGAACTCATCCCGCTTGTAGTAACTTCCGATCAGGTAAGCGCAGCCTGGCATTGGAAGGTCAGAATAGGCTTCATGCACCACCGCCAGCTTGGCATAGTATGAACGTACCAGGAACGAAGCCTGCCTCACACATCCCCATGAAAAACCGACACGCGATCAGGCCCGTCGCAGTCTTGGTGAGACCCTGTCCCATCACAAACAGCCCTGTTGACCCACCAAGTCAGCATACTCCTTTTCTCCCGACTGCGATTGCTCTCACCCCAAGTAAACATGTATAGGACCAGCATCCTTGGGCCAAACTTCTTGACCAGCAGGTTGGCCGGCATGCCAAAGACGACGTATGCGACCGTGAACATGGTCACGGCGAGGTTGTACTCATTTCCCACCAGGTGCAGCTCCTTGGCCATGCCGGCGATCTTCGCGTTTCTACATCAAACCACATGGTTAAGGCTCGGTCCATCGACATCAAGTGGAAGAGAGCTGAACACTCACGCAATGTTGGAACGGTCCATGAATGACACCAAAAAGAGAAACCATAGTGCTGGGATGACTCGCCAGTCCAGCTTTCGCAGCAACTTCTTCTCCAAAGCGGGATCAAAGTCTGGCGTTGACGCCTCAACCACGCGGGGCTCGATCTCTTGCTTCTCCATGACTGTATCCTTGCAAAGTAACGGTCGGCAGAAAGAGTGGAACGAACTATAAGAGAAAGCAACCACCCATGCACGTGGCGCGACATGGTCGGCTTTTGTAGATGAAACTCAGGTCGGAATATCCGAGTTGTCAGGGGTGGCAAGGGAGGGTTTAGGTCAAGCCATTATGAAGTGACTAGTTGGACAACCTCCGGCTGATTAATTGCAGGCCAGACTTCTTTCCATCGTCTCATTGATGAAGGTGTGGCCTGCAACTACCGGTACTCATCGGGGTGTGTTCAGCGTTGGACCCACGGCAATATATCTTGACGGACTCAAAAGACCCTAAGCATGATAGTCAGCCCTAGTGGCTCCATTCCGAGCACTCGGCCCGCTAGGATAATTAAGAATGGATGCACGAACACTACCATTTGTCGGGGAGTTTACCCAAGCCCCACCAAGTAAGTGAAGTAGTATATACTAGGTGATTAGGTGCAGGGTCATTGACCACATAGGGTTCTTGCACGGAGACCCTCAGCGCGGAAATCGTCCGGACTCCCCCCGTCCCGTCCACCCCCTCCTCCCTCCGATGTCCTTTCTCTCTCCAGACCCACACCTACAATCAAAGGACTCAATATTATAGTGCAACAGGGAAAATCTCTTCCAGCCATTGCGCTGCCATAGCACACGGTTTGGGCCGAATGTCGTCCACTCGAGTTAGTCTTCATCATCTGCATCATATGCTTCAACTAAGCAGAAAATAGTTGTGATCTGTCCCCAATGTCGAATGGGAGGTTATCGACCGGCTGCACATAGAAACCTGAGACGTCTGCGTGGCATTAGTGTAGAGGGGTAGACCCGATCTTAAATGACACCCAATGGTGCAATTTGACTGGTCTCCATGCGTGACAACCAATCGTTCTTGATCTTTGCTCCACAAGGGGGTGACCAAATACCGGCACGCAGTATGTAGCCATGTACTCAGTAAGTTAGTCTTCCATGTCCGGAGTAACATCGCTGAGGAAAACGGACCCGTGCCGAGACGGTACTAGGTAGTTAGGTACAGATCTTGCAAAAAGATGATTTGCGTACTGAGCCGCCAGCCCTGTCTTCACCATACAAGTCGAATCCTTCGATCCCTTTTCTAGGGTCACAAAAGGGACTTTACAGGACGAGGTCCTGCCCATTCTCGTTCCTTTCCTTTGTAGCATGCTACTGGAAGAAAGACAAATAGCAACGTTATGATCGAGCATGATGCCAATATCCCGGACAAAGGTCCCCTATTCATCAGGGTTACCGGGGCTTTGACCGCGATTGCATTCATCTTGGTCGCCCATAGGGTGCTATGGAAGGTGTACAGACAAACTGCCATCTCTGCAGATGATGTGATCATCCAGGTTTCGATGGTATGGTTCGCATTACAAATGAATAGAGCCTCTACTCACAGGAGAACCAGATCATACAGATTGTGAATACCGTTATGGGCGACTTGGGTAGGGCGCACCTTCCTAACCGTTGAACATTGAAGTGACCGCCAATGCTGACTGTGTTCTACCATGCAGCGTGCCACTATGCATTTGGTCGTCATCGCGCTGACATTGTACGGTCAGGGGGCAATTTGGTACTTGCGCTGAAGGTTTGCTCCATGGTTCTCTCCAATGTTTAAGAGGATGCTAACTTGAGCCTCGTAACGCAGTATTTCTGGCTCTTCCAAATCCTCTACAAGACCGTCCTCTGTCTCAACAAGCTCAGCTTCCTGGCTTTTTACCTGCGAATCTTTCCCACGCGACCCTTCCGTATTATCTGCTGGGTGACCATCGGTCTCGTCATTTCCAGCACCTTCGGATTTGTGCTCGCGACGATCTTCCAGTGCATCCCGGTCCATGCTAGCTGGCACAAGAACATCGCCAAGAAGTGTGTGGACAACGCGAGCTTCCGATGGTCGTGGGCAGGTTACAACACGGCGATGGACATTTGGGTCTGCATGCTACCACTGCCGGTTCTCGCGCAGCTGCATCTCGACCGCATCCGCAAGATCGGTGTGATGCTCGTGTTCTGCATGGGCTTGTTCGTGTGCATCACTAGTATCATTCGGATGTGGGCAATGGAGGCGAGCACCACGACGCAGGACCCGACCTGGGGCTCGTTTGATGCCCTGCTGTGGAGTGCCATCGAGGCGAGTACGGGGATTATTTGCGCTTGCTTACCGTTCCTGAAGCACTCTGCCCAGAAGCTGGTTCCCAGTTGGTTTGTCTCGCTTTCGAATGGATCGCGTAAGTCGCGCAGTCGAGCCACCAGGACCAGGACGGGACGGAGCTATCGTATGAGTCGGTTGGAGTCCCAGGAAGGCACGCAGCTCGGCCAAGAATGGCGGGTGGAGAGACACGATCTTGATGCGGATGCTGAGAGCGTGGGGAGCCACGGGGCTATTGCCAAAGGCCAGATCATTCTCACTACCGCAATTGACATGCACAGTGAACCGGCACCGAAATAACGACCGGTACTATAGAGACTCGCCAGAACATAGTCCAGATGCTTGTAGGAATTCTTGATCCGAGATCCTTTGCCTGTTTCCTTTTCTTTTTAGCGTTTTCTGACTTCTTACCACCTTCCATTTGTAACGAGACACTCGTGCTGTTATTGCCACGGGTGTACTTTAGTAGCCCAAGCTAAGGCCTAGGTGGCATATTCACCGAACAGCAAATTGTGGTGGACATTGAGTGTCTCAGAAGGCATTCGATAGCGCGATGGGGAGGGTGGATCGGGGTGGGGAGCGGCCGGGTTAGCCCGGCCTATCGAGCCTATCGAGCCCTAAGTGCTTGTTTTGACAGGGGGTTCAAACCACCATCTCTTCCCTAGCGCTGCCATGGCCTGATCCGTCGGGGTTCCACTCGGCTAGAGGGTTAATTTCATTCCCTCAATGGTTATTCACAGTTAGAAATCCAGGCCTGCTATCAGTGGGGCTCTGCAATATATCCCCGGGTGGAAGGTATTTCGCATTTGCCGAACGCTGTTAGCAGGGATAAGAGGCATTGAGGGACAGGCTAAAGCCCAGGACAAAGACAAGAAGCAAGAAAGCATCATTTTTTTCTTTCCAGAGACGCTTAGTACCAACATGTCTCAGAATCACCGAGCAGAAAATCGAGCTGACCCGACCGTGGCGGATGAGTTGTTAGACGCTCTGGCTCAGGTAGTGCATCTCCACCAAGGGTGCAATTGACACCGCACTGACATCGACCAGGCAGGCGTAGATTACCTCTTCACCGTGCTGGGATCCGACCACCCCAGCATCATCGAGGCCTACGTGCGCCGACAGAATGATCCCACACGGCAGTATCCCAAGATGATTCTGTTTCAGCATGAGGTCAGCCACTGTCTCCCACTGACAAAAGATCCCGTGTCTGTACTAAAGGGTCAACCATCAGTTTGTCGCGATGTCAGCGGCCGATGGGTATGCACGAATCAGTCACCGGCCAGCGTGTGTGATTGCCCACGTTGATGTGGGGACGGCAGCTCTGGGCCAGGGGCTGCACAATGCATCCAGCGGACGAGCCCCCGTGGTGATTCTGGCAGGGATTGCCCCGTCCACCTTTCTCGGGGAGGCTCCGGGCTCGCGATCGGAGCATGTGCAGTGGTACCAAGATATTCGCGATCAGGCTGCCCTCGTGGCGCCGTACAGCCGCTACAGTGCCGAGATCAAGTCCCCGCACAATGTGTCCACCGTGGTGCATCGCGCAGTGCTCATGGCCACGACGGGCTCCCCCGGGCCTGTCTATCTAACGGCAACACGGGAAATTCTTGCCACTGCGCTGCCTTCTGGCGACCATGCTCTGCGGCCCAAGGCCGTACCAACGTGTCTCCTGGGCTCCCTGCCTTCCGAGCAAGTGGAGGTAATCAGTACAGCGCTGCTCAATGCGCAAGCCCCACTGGTGATCACCGGGTACCTGGGTCGCAATCATCGTGCCGTCCAAGAGCTGGTCCACTTGGCTGACATGATCTCCGGCCTGCGGGTGTTTGACTCGGAGCTCCGTGAGATGAGCTTCCCAGCCACCCATCCTGCCTGTGTGACGCGAGGGACGGGGGCAGCTCCCGCCGTGCAATCGGCCGACGTGATTCTCGTCCTGGACGCTGATGTGCCGTGGATTCCCACGCGTGTGCGCCCTTCTCCCACCGCCCAGATCATCCACATCGACCTTGACCCGCGCAAAGAACGCATGAATATTTTCGATATCAATGCGTCTCTCACCTTCCACGCGGACACGGCGGCGGCCTTGAGCCAGCTTACTGCTTATTTATCTACCTCCCCTCGGTTGCCCGAGTTGCAAGGCAGTGAAAGCTGGCAAGCGCGTGGGAAGACCATGAAGGCATCGTACGACCAGGGCCAGGCACAGATCGACGCCCGTGCGACCGCACTGTTGTCGACGCCGGATGCGCCCTGCAGTGTAGACTATTTGTGTAGTCGCGTCCGCGCACTGCTACCCCAGGAGACGATCTTTGTGACCGACTCGGTCACCAACCAGGTAGCCATGACGGAGCAGCTCCGCCTGCACCGACTGGGCTCGCATCTCACCAAGGGCGGCAGCGGATTGGGCTGGGCGGGCGGCGCTGCAATCGGGGTGCAGCTGGCCGCGGCACGGTACGATCTGTCCAACCGACCGGTGGTGCAGCAGAAGGCTGAGGGGCCTTCGTCGTCACAGACCCGTCCCTTGGTGTGCAGCATCACGGGTGATGGAAGCTTTGTGTTCTCGGTTCCGACCGCGGTCTTCTGGGCCAGTCACCGCTATCAGTGCCCCTTTCTGACTATCATCTTGAACAATGGAGGGTGGAATGCCACCAGTCAATGCTTGAAGGATGTACACCCGACCGGTGTTGCGGCTGGGTTGTCGAAGGAAGAGCTGGGAATTTCCCTCGTCGCGGATGGGCCTGATTATGGGGGCATTGCTAAGGCTGCAGCTAACGGAAATCTATGGGCGAAGCGGGTGAAGTGTGTAGACCAGCTGGATGAAGCTCTCACTACGGCGATTAGGGTTGTGGTGGAGGAGGCCAAGTCGGCGGTGCTGGATGTCATCATCCGTTAGATTCTTGCGCAGTCAACGTTGCCATGAAGCATTTTCAAAGACTCATTGCCCATCATGACCACACGTAATGACAGTGCGAGGATAAATTCCCCGGAAAGCTATAAAGAAGCCAGGGTGACAGGACAAAGCAGTAGCAGGCCATTGTTGGCTGGTGCATCTTGCGCAACCCGAGCACAACAAAGGGCAATGAGATCTGACCCACTATAAATAGACCCGATCTAGATTGAGAATGATCCGCCAAGTACCAGGCATATGAAGCATGCCAAGCACTCCACCACTTTCCAAGATGGGCTACCGCATGGACTCATGGAAGGGAGAGACCCTGTGTGGCACCCGCGTCCGGGTTGGACGCAATTCGGATCAAACCGCGACCATTGGAGGTACTGTGATGATCGATGGCGAGTACTATGCACTGACCATTCTGCATCCCTTTCTGAAACCTTCTTCCAACCAGCACCGAAAGCGTTGGGCCTCGTTCCGGTCCCGCGCGATGTACGCCCTGGACAGCGAGGAGCCCCACGCGGTGGCCTATCTGCCCCGCTACAGAGGGACCAGGAAGTTAAACCCGGGCTTCTGGTCGGTGCGACAGAACTGGGCTCTGTTTCGATTGTGTGATCAAACGCCCCGATCCAATTGTGTCACGGTCGGGGGGTGGCAAGTGCTCTCACCATCCAAGGTCACCAGAAGCTCGCCCCGCGGTCAGCTGTGGTGCTTGCTGGGGAACGGCGCTCGCCCCCCGGTCAGAACCGACGTGTCTGGACGGTTGAGTAGCCTGTCCACCGCAGCCACCGACTTCCCGGTAGCGTATCACTTGAGTATGGTTTCCTTTGCGGAGGATGTTGGAGCCTGGGTGGTGGATGGAGGGGACAATGGCTCCCTGTTTGCCATGCTTGTGGCCCAGGATGACCAGGACTTCACCACCTACGCCATCAGTGCGGCGGATATCTTCGATGAGTTGCAGAGGCGATTTCCAAACACCTCGATAGCGATCGCCTAGGAGTTTGGTGTTATATGTGCTTATGGGGGCGGGCTTGATATATTTATATTTCTATTTGATAGATTTGATGTACTCCGTATATACTCGAGAAAGTAAAAAGTTAAGTTACACTCAAAATTATAACTACACAATTGCACTCAATCCCACACTAGTACCAATCAAGTTCAAACTCCTTTAGTTATCGCAATGAGTCATGCGCCTGATAGCGGCCTCAGGCAACACCACGTGACCATACGGTGCTTAGAAATGCTGTGGCGCGACTGGCTGGGATTACCCCGGATCACGTGCGGTGACTCGGGGCTTCTCGCCTTCGCATTGTCCGTCTGCGAGATCGGCGCCAGGAGAAACTGGGAAAAATCTTGAGGTGACTCAGTCCTTCTTTTCCCCCCATCATCTCCACCTCCTCTCTCTCGTGTTCAATCGATACCCATTGAACTATAGAGACCATGGCGAGGCAGCTCTGCAATTTGCTCCGCCGGCCGGTGAGTCGCTAGACCTTCCTTGATCTTTCCAAATTCCCCATCTGATGTGATCTCACCCAGCTTCGGCTTCGGTCTACCCCGTCGCTCGGGGCTTCCAGCGGGAGAATTGCCCTCCTCCCACGATCCAACGCCACATCCCTCCCCCCTCGCTCCATTCGCGCCCTCAGCACGACCCCGATTGCCAGGGCCCAAGGCTTTCACTCGCAGCAAGAGCAGGCCCCCTCGACCACTCCCTCCGAGACCCGCACGCCGCAGACCCTGACGGAGAAGATCGTGCAACGCTATGCCGTCGGTCTCCCCCCTGGGAAGTTCGTTCGCAGTGGCGACTATATCAGTCTGGCGCCCGGATACTGCATGACGCATGACAACTCGTGGCCTGTGGCTCTCAAGTTCATGTCCATGGGAGCCACCAAGGTGCACAACCCGAAGCAGATCGTCATGACCCTCGACCACGACGTCCAGAACACCAGTCCCCAGAATTTGAAGAAGTATCAGCAGATCGAGGAGTTTGCGGGCAAACACGGCATCGACTTTTATCCTGCAGGACGGGGTATTGGACACCAGGTGATGGTGGAGGAAGGGTACGCGTGGCCCGGCACCATGGCAGTCGCCTCCGACAGTCACAGCAACCACTACGGTGGTGTCGGCTGCTTGGGCACCGCCGTGGTTCGCACCGACGCGGCCAGTATCTGGGCGACCTCGCGCACCTGGTGGCAGATTCCCCCGGTGGCCAAGGTCACCTTTACTGGCACGCTCCCCGTGGGCGTGACCGGTAAGGACGTGATCGTCGCGCTGTGCGGTCTCTTCAAGAGCGACGTCCTGAACCACGCCATTGAGTTCACCGGTTCCGAGGAGACCATGGCCAGCCTGCTCGTCGACAGCCGCCTGACGATCGCCAACATGACCACCGAGTGGGGCGCGCTCACCGGTCTCTTCCCCATCGACACCACCCTGAAGCGCTGGCTCCGGTACAAGGCGACCGTTGCTGCCCTGTCTGATGACCGTTCCACTCGCGAGCGCATCACGCACGAGAGAATCGAGGAGCTGTTCGCCAACCCCCTCACCGCGGACCCCGATGCTCAATATGCCAAGCAGCTGTACCTCAACCTCTCCACCCTCTCTCCCTATGTCTCTGGCCCCAACTCCGTCAAGGTCGCCACCCCCCTGGCTGAGCTGGCCGCCAAGAACATCAAGGTCAACCGCGCCTACGTCGTCTCCTGCACCAACTCCCGCGCCTCGGATATCGCCGCCGCCGCGCAAGTCTTCCGCACCGCGGCCAAGGCGAACGGCGACGTCACCCCCAAGATTGCCGACGGCGTGAAGTTCTACATCGCGGCCGCCTCCGCTCCTGAGCAGGAGGCTGCCGAATCCACCGGCGACTGGCAGATCCTGCTCGAGGCCGGCGCGCAGCCGCTTCCCGCCGGGTGCGGTCCGTGCATTGGCCTCGGAACCGGTCTGCTGGAGCCCGGCGAGGTGGGCATTAGTGCCAGTAACCGCAACTTCAAGGGTCGCATGGGCTCGCGTGACGCGCAGGCCTATCTGGCCAGCCCCGAGGTCGTCGCCGCCAGTGCCCTCAGCGGCATGATCTCCGGCCCCGGCACCTTCCAGGTGCCCCCGGAGGAGTGGCTGGGGGTGGACCACGGCTTCGGCACCGGTGCGGAGCCCACCACTGAGCAGCAGCTCACCAACCTCCTGGAGCAGATGGAGTCCTTCATTGACCGGGTGGAGACCGCCCAGGGCTCGACGGAGAAGGCGGCCACCGAGATCCTGCCCGGTTTCCCCGAGCGCATCAGCGGCGAGATCGTCTTCTGCGATGCCGACAACCTCGACACCGACAGCATCTACCCCGGCAAGCTCACCTATCAGGACAACGTCTCGAAGGAGGACATGGCCCGTGCCTGCATGATGAATTACGACCCCGAGTTCAAGGACGTCGCCAAGCCCAGCGACATCCTCGTTGCCGGCTTCAACTTCGGCTGCGGCTCCTCCCGCGAGCAGGCCGCCACCGCCATCCTGGCCAAGCAGATCCCGCTCGTCGTCGCTGGTAGCTTCGGCAACATCTTCTCCCGCAACAGTATCAACAACGCCCTGATGGGTCTCGAGGTGCCCCGCCTCGTCGAGCGCCTCCGCGCCACCTTCGCTCAGCCGGCCGGTGCGGAGCGCCAGCCCACCCGCCGCACTGGTTGGACCTTAACGTGGGACGTCAAGCGCAGCCAGGTCGAGGTGCAGGAGGGTGAGGGCGGCGAGAGCTGGACGGAGCCGGTGGGCGAGCTGCCCGCCAACGTGCAGGCGATCATCGCCGCTGGCGGTCTGGAGGCCTGGGTTAAGGGCGAGGTCGCTAAGGCGGCGTAAAGGTAGAACTCTAGACGCGATGAAGAAAAGACTGATTAGACCTTTGTGTTGGAAGCATGTACATATCCTTAGCGCTATCTGAATTCACTGTATCACTACGAGAGGCTACGTTGCGTGGTCAGTACTGTATATTCACGGCCGCTATTTGTCTCCCTCTTCCCACGGCACCCTCCTCGGATTCGACGTATTGAGATACCAGACCTGATGCCCGCCGACGTCCGAGCACTCCGTCTGGACCTGCCCGCCTGCTTGGTTGGATAGCCAATCTGAGGCGCCTTGCAGGGTGGCGATTGACCCCAGCAGGTGCTCATCCTGCTGCAGACCGAGCAGCTTCTCGACGGTTCTGTCTTGAGGGTAGGGCGAATCATCGAGCTGTAGCCGTTGCCCCCTGGTACCTTGCTTGATCGAACCCGACATGGATTGGGTCAACTCGAGCTTCAACCCACTGATGGCGAATTCCGCCACCACCAGTCCGTTGTAATACCCTTCTGCGCGGGGAAACGCCTGTAGTGCAGCGATGGCCTGCAGACGAATGCGGTAATCCGGACATCGCAGCGCCAGGAAGCTCAGGGCAGCGCACAGGATTCCATCGGGGGTAAACTGCGGGCGCGTCCCCAGTTTAGCGTTCAGGGCCACAGTTTTCGCCATCAGATCCTCAAATTCCGGGCGTAGTGGGTGTAATGCGGGATCCCACGGGGCGTGCAGGCAGGCTTTGAGGGATAAAGTGAAAGTGAGCAGGCTCAGTTGCACCACGTCTGCGGAGCGCCGCTCGCGGTCGGTGAAGTGGGGATACGTTGTCAGTAGGTCGTCGAAGTAGGTGTTGACTTGGGTCAGACAGGATAGCAGGCGCTGTTGTTTGGGCTGCAGGACGCCGTATTGGCGTGCGAGGTCGGTCTCGGACAGGCTCCAGCACCGCTCGAGGAGGCGGAAGATGGGAGGCACGAGAGGGTTCAGGGTTTGACGTGCGTGCTCGACGCTCCGAAATGGGCGGAGCTGGATTTCGAAGGTTTCAAGGCGGGCGAATTGGGCTTCCAGCTCACGGAAGGGTTGGTGGACTCCGTGGAACGCTGAGTGCGATTCCAGGTAGAGAAAAGCGTCGGAGAGAGTTGGGTCTATGGGTAAAGAAGACGGCGCCTCCTCGTTGAGGATTTTCAGCCCCGCTTGGAGGTGCGCGTTGGCGTCGTCGTAGCGGGCGGACGCCAGCTCGATCAGCACGAAGAGCAGGCAGCAGACCAGAATCACCTGGCGGAGACGTGGATCTTGGGAGGCAGGACGGTGCTTCAGAAGAGTAAATGCGCGCAGCGACTGCTCCAGGGCGAAGTGTTGCCATTTACTACGCAGCGACTGTCCGGGGATTGCAATCCCCGCTTCATGCACCTGGTGATTGATGGCACTTAGGGCTACGAGGGCATGGTAGACGGCCGGCTCGACGACGCTCAGTTGGCCGATCAGATTCCGCGGCGAGAATAGGTCCGACACCCCGGAAACGACCACCGAGTCGGGGATAAGATGATGCCAGAGAAAGGAGAGGCATCGTTTCTCGTCGGAGGTGATGGGCCAAGGGAACTGCGCTGCCACTGAGGACAACAGCGTCGCGTGCTGGGCGCCATACGTTGCTTTGCCCGGCAAACGAGTGAGATCCGAGCCCTCACAGGGCCAGCCCGCCGCTTTACAGTTCTGACATCTCCCTGGCGTCTCGTCGCATTTGATCCGGCGGGCTCTGAGGAGTGACGTTGAGAATAAAGAAAATCTGGCTGGCGACCAATTGCTTACCGACAGGTTCGACAGCCGGTTCTGGAACGAGTGGTCCGCGCTCGTCGACGTCCAGACTTCGCTTGCATGGCTGTGGCTGGCTGGCTCTAGACAGAAACCGGCAGAAGTGAGGACATCTGGCGTCCTGTGCGAGGATGAGAGACTAGTTGACGCTAAATCCCACTAAACTACGCGACGAAATGCGGGGTTCCTCGCTGACAGCAAGTTGCTGACACAGCTTGTTAGATTTCTTTCAATGTTCAAGGGGGCAGCGGCCGAGGTACTGGAGGATCCCTCCTCGTGCACACGGAATGACGGTCTTAGAGCATCATGGCAACGTTTGCAGCCCATGCTGGTTCGTATATCACTATGACCCAGAACAGTTGGAGTCTTGCCATAGTTGTCGCCCACGGCTCATCACCGCGTTACACGGGGTGTCGACGCATATTGCAATGGCAACTGAAGCCTCATCATTCATGTGACCATGATCACGATCTATAGATCTCAAGGCTGGGGAAGAGCAGGTTGTCAGGTAGAGAAGGAGTAGCCAAGATGCTTCGTGATTAAATAGAACAGAGATCAATTTACCAAAATCAATCAACATGAGAGTGCAGCTATATGAAATTGGGAGAACGGTCAAGCAATTTATTGCACAAACACAAACAACATCCAAGGCAAATCCAAACACTGAATTAGCATTATCATCCCATTGTCAACAGTGGGTTATGAAGGGGGGCCCTGCCACGGTTCTCTCGTCCAATCCTCAAAGTCATTGTCATCATAAGGGTACCAATCATCATCCGAGTCGTACGAAAAATAATCTCCTGATGGCCGCGGAGGCGGGGCATTCCACTCATCAAGTAGCTTGTTCTGCTCGGGGCTCCAAGGACTCAGTGCGCGCCCTGGGCCTTCCGGTTGGTATTCAACTGCGTGTGAGAGCGACACTCGCTTCTGCGATGCCTCGGCAATGAGCTGGTTCCAACGGTCGGTTGAATGGCGATATCGCGTATAAAGAGTCGGTAGATACTGTACGTCACCCACGCAATACCTGATGATCGCGTCCAAGAGTGGCCTTTTGTCAAACACACTGTATGAGCCGCCCTTTTCGGGATTCCATAAGGCCTCCTCATTCGTTTTGTCCAGCATCCATTTCTCCCTTTCTCGTGCGTTGAAAAGAGCTTGTTCGATGCATTTGGACAGGCCGGAGAGATACTTCCGCCCAGGGGTATTCGGCCGAGCAGCGCTCTCCATGAGCTGAATATCCCGGACACCCTGTAGCCTGACCCCGTAATGAGCATAGAGTGCGTCCGAGTCATTTCGCACGTCGAAGAATGCTTTGATGATCTGTGGCGACTCTAATATGTCTTTGAGACTATTTCCACGCTGTCCGGTCGTGGAGAAGGCTACAGAGCCAAGAGAATGGATGTCTATGACGTGTGGAGACATCAAACCGTGACCGGGACTCACAAGCACGGTCATGAGGGATATTGTACCATGGCGGCTGAGCTTTCTGCCTTCCAGATCTATGTAGAGCAGAGGCTTAAAGTCCCCCATCCAGGTGTCCTGCCGTGCTATGAGATCGACGAGACCCTTGAGCCCGTCTTGAGTGTCGATAAAAGTGGTCTCTTTGGCCATGACGAATGTCGTGCTGCGGTACAAGTTGCTAAATGTCTTTGATCTGGGCGATACCGCTGATGGTTGGCGAGAAGAGAAGTTGAGCGCACAATTTTGTAGTCACAGGCTGAGTCAGATGGACATGAGCCCTGTCATCCCCACTCCAATCGGACTCTCGTGCCGAAGGCATGTGCCGTGACACGTCATCACAATGGCGAGACTTGCGTGGATTATGTTTTGGGTGAAGTAAGACTTTTTCAGGGGACGTAAACGTAAATGTAGTCTAGCTAGCAAGTGACCTTGATCTCCTCTAGAGAACAACCCACACAAAGCACCAGGGATTAATATGTACTATAAATCAATAAACATAGGTGCGATGAGCACAAACGAGATCTAGTGGAACAAAAGCCTCATGATTATTCCTTCTTGGCCTTCTTCCCCTTCGGCACACGGAAGATCCAGTAGAACGCAATGGCTCCAACGGTATTGACCACAATATACACCCACAGCAGGCCAAAGTCGCGCCACCGATTGGCGAAGTTGACATTCAAGCCTGCCAGATACTGATTGGTGTACTCTAAGCTGCAGAAGTTGCACTCGTCGCTGCCTCGAGCGTCCGGGTTGAGCAGATAACCCCCGTGGGCGGAGCGATAATCTTGCATGTATTCGCCGCAGCTCATTCCAGAGGGAGCGAAGAAGGATAGGATTTCGTTGTCGGCACAATGCATGGGGGCATCGCCCAGGGTTGCCGATAGAAGGGAGGATACCAGGTAGGTAAAGGGGTTGACGCGGTACATGAAAATCCAAAAGCCGGGAAGAGCATCCGGACCTGCCAGGATGCCGCAGAAAGCATACATCATAATGAACAGGATGTTGGACAGCGCTGATGCCAGCTGATCACTATCCATCCCAGAGATCAACATGTGCGCGAACGAACTTGAGAAGAGAAAGACAGCCCAGATGATGAGGACAGCCAGCGTGCCCCGGGTGTGAACCTCGCCGGTATATTCGGCGTTACGGTACAGGCCCACGGGGTAGTACCAGACCAGGAAGGATAATATCGCCATGATCTGACCGAAATGATTAGTCAGTAAGACGAGGCAGAACCAGATACAACAGGGACGAACCGTATTCCAGAAGAACTCCACCGCGATGTTGGAGAGAATAAATGCTGGCCATGCATAGGTCTTGGACTGCCGCTCGCGCGATTCGTAGAGCGTCCGCTGCGTGACAAAGGATGGGATGATCTGCATCACCAGCTGAACAACCACGAAGAGGAACACGAAGACGCCAAACATCTGATTCTGTAGCCCCTGTCGAGTGTTGTCTGCTTTGAAAAAAGAGAACCCAATGAAGAACGCCTGCGAAATGCAAAGATGCGGTTAGCTGTGAATCACTACCATCCCAGATTGTCCAAGAGTTTCCACTTACACAGCCAACAGTCAGTACCATCTTGGAGTATATGTAGGAGGGCGAGCGCCAGTACTGCTGGAAGACCCGACGGGCGACCTGGATCAGTTGTTCGAAGAAAGGCGCCGCAAATTCGGCATAGCTAGACTTATCATTCGGATCAGAGAGCGGCGAGGGCTTGCTGGCCAATTCCCTCAGTTTGGCCAGTTCCTTCTGCGCATCTTGATATTCAGGACTGTTTCTCCAGACTGCGGGCCAGTCAATTTCCGTCTGGGCTCCTGGAGCCGCTCCAACGACCTCCAGCATGTGCTCTGCTGGATTCGCTCCCGGCGGGCAGGCTGATCCCCCATTGCGAACAAAGTAGTCCATAAGAACTTGCGATCCTTCTCCCACCTCCCCAAAGTAGACAGTCTTGCCACCCTTGGCTAGCAGAAGAAGTCGATCAAAGCGTTGAAACAGCATGGCAGACGGTTGGTGGATTGTACAGAGAATGGCTTGTCCATTCTTGGTCAAGGTCTCCATCAGATTGCAGATGGACCAGCTGGTCTGGCTGTCCAGTCCCGAGGTTGGCTCATCCAAGAAAAGCAGCAGCTTAGGGCGCGCAGCCAGTTCCACTCCAATTGTCAATCGCTTGCGCTGCTCCACGTTGAGCCCTTCTCCTGGTACCCCGACGATGGCATCCGCATACTCCCGCATGTTCAAAAGGTCAATCACGGTCTCAACATACGCGAGCTTTTCAGCTCGGCTGTACTGGGGCGCTTGTCGGAGCAAGGCACTGAACTCCAAGGCTTCACGGACCGTCGAGGTGTGGAGGTGCAGATCTTGTTGTTGCACATAGCCAGTCTTACGTTGGAAGGATTCGTCTCGAACGCGACCGTCCACCAACATATTGCCACCAATAACACCGACCGTCGTGCGACTCGCCAATACGTCCAATAAGGTCGTTTTCCCGGCGCCGGAGACCCCCTGTTCAGAATAGTTAGTTTGACTGACCAAAGGGTACGATGTGGGGGGTATGGCTGCTTACCATGAGCGCTGTCAAAGTACCCGGCCGAATCCAACCGTCGACATGATCCAAAATGCGTCGCGGCTCGCCTTTGATCTTGATGTCGTAGGTCACATCCTCCCAGTGGAAGATTGACGATTGCTTCTCGACTCCAGAGATGGTTCCCGACCCCTGGCTGGGTGCTTTGTCGCTTTGCACCACAGGATCAGGCCCCTGCTCCTCATCCTTCTGGTTTTGTGCCGACAAAGCTTTCTGCACTTTGTTGCGCCGGAAGACGAGCACCTCACCTCGGGAGCGTTGGCTAGAAACTAGTTCGGAGGTGACAAGGTGACAGACTGCCAGAAAGATGGTCAGGGCAATGATGATCCCAAAGTTGCGCCAGCGGTGACTGTTCTCGTATCCATACGAGGAGCGCACGAATGCGGTGCCTTGGACGACATCGGACCCCGGAACAGCTCCCACAGTCGAGCAGACCCGCTCTTGGCTTGGAACATTCTCGTATCCTGGTCCGGAGGGAATGAAGGAGGCACAGGGGAACTCCCGGCCATGAAACTCGTTCACCATCACAGCCTCGAAGCCATACGAGACTGGATTCAGCCATCGGATCCACGAGGCCCAGCCACGCATGTAGCTCACCGGGATAGCAAACCCCGTATACAGCACAAGGGCAAGCAGAATGATGGACGAGGGCGCAAGAGCCTGTTCGAGCGACTTGGTAATGGAGGCAAAGAACCGGAAAAACATGGACATGCCCATCATCATGGAGAATGCGATCAGGTACAGGAAGAAGAATGCTCCCGGTGTCCGCCGGAGATTTCCCATGAAGTACAACACCAGATTGACAAGCAACGAGTTCACTATTTTGTAAGGCATGTCCATGATCATTGATGATATGGCTTCAGCACTTGGGTGATAGAGGGCGTATCGGGTGTGTTTTTCGACGATGGTCCTCTTCTCGTACAGAACGATGATTTCCAACATGCTGGAAAAGGCGCTCAGGAGGACCAGCATGAAGAGAAGGGCACCACGCGAGAAGAACGATGATGTGTCATTTGCAAGGTTGTAGAACACACTGGAAATGATCAAAGCTTCGAAGAAGTTTCCGATTAGCATGGCAAGAGTCACGCTCGGATCGTTCTTGAGTCGCTGAAAGTCTCTCCATAGGCAGATCCGAATCTGGCCCCAGTAAGACAAAGTGTATGGAGATTTTCGCCGCTGTTTCGTGGACTTCTCCGCTCGCCGAGCGGAGGCGAATTTATCAAGGTCCGAAGCGTGGAATGGGTGTGCGTCAACATATTGGTCGATTTCATGCAGAAGAGCCTGGCGCTCAGGGCTTTCATGCCATCGTCTGGCGAATTCGTCGGCCGTTCTGGGCACGAGGTGCTCATATCCTGGGCGTATGACGCGTTCAACGGGGCTTGACATGGAGGTCAGGAAGTCAGGCGTTGTCTGTGCCTCGGGGCATATGAATCCCATGCGACTGAAGTAATCCCTGGCTGCCTGGGCAGGGCCAAAGTAGATCTGCCGTCCTTCGTACAGAACGGTGACTTTGTCGAAAAGCTAGGCAACCTGTTAGCCAGGATTCAAGCCTATGAGCGTTAAGCTGACTTACGTCGTAGGCCGCCTGAGGTGCCTGGTAGATGGCAACACACGAGGTCACCCCGAAAACATCGCCCTGTGTGCGTAATGTCCGACAGAATTCCTATGCCACCAAGGATTCATCAGTATGGTATCACAGAGTAGCTGTTATGGTGTACATACCACAGCGTTGGCACTATCCAGGCCTCGAGTGCTGTTATCCCAGCACTGCAATGGGGCATAGCTCAATGCGGCTTCTGCGATGGTAACTCGCTTTCTCTCACCTCCACTGACGCCACGCACAAAGTCATTCCCGACCTTGGTGTTGATCGTATGGCTGATCCCAAAGATTGACATGATCACATCTCGCAAGTGGGTGGCGTATTCCTGGCGAGACATTCCACCAGGTACTTGACGAGGGACACGGGCGAGGGCAGCGAAGTACAGAGTGTCTCCAACCACCAGTTGGGGGTAGTGAGCATCCACCTCGGCTGTATAGACGGCTTCACCCCGGAACTCCGCTGACATCTGTTTTGGGGTGATCCCCTGGTAGTTGATGTACGTGGCCGGGTCGACCTGGAATCCATATGTTTCCTGAGCAATTGTTTTGAGGAAGGTCGAGCAGCCGGAACCAGGAGGCCCTAGAACACAGAGTTGTTCACCGGGGAGAAGCAAGCCGTCGACATCACGCAGAATCTCAATTCTTTTCTTCTTCCCGCCCAGAAGTTGGCGGATGAGGGTTGGCACCTTCAAGACCGCATTCCCCACGCTCATCTGATAGTCAACCGGACTGCCATATCCCACCACGTTCAGGTTCTTGATGGCGACCCCGGCCACGCGTGCCGGGGCACTGTTATCAGACTGGTAGCGAAGACCGTAAAAGGCTTTCGCCCAGGCTCTGGCGTTGAATCGAGGACTGTGTGGGTCGAGAACGAGGTCATTTTTGTTGAAAGGCAGCGGGTGGTGCGACAGTTTGGATCGCTCACTCACGGTGCGAGCCAAGTGAGTGAGATCACGATCAATCTCTTCCTGATCTCCGGCCAGAGTCGCCTTTCCGTCCGAGTCCGAGTTGCAACTGCTGGTAGGCGTGCGAGTTGGTATGGGAACGCCGCTTAGGGCTGGGAGCCGCTTGTCGGCCGGTTTGGAATCCATTTCCTGGTGAAATGCTGGACGCTGCACAACAGATTTCTATCGCATACTGAACAAGTCTATCAATTTAAGACCCCTGAGGGACTCAAGGAAATTTCATAATTTCACCCGAGTCACAGCAGGCAGGCATTCCCCGGTCGGGCTCGGTCTTTGACACCATGAAGATCCGTTGTGTGTGAAGGAAGAAGTGATGCGCCGCCAAGTTCGGATTCCGCGGGCGCCGGCGGGGACCGTTTTCGGACGGAGTGGAGATTCCAGGGATATATTGTTATTAGATATTTGGTATGTGTTTCTTAGGTGTTTTTCAAGTACCAAGTTTTACTTTCCTAGACCACGAGGACCTGCTTCCCTGCCCCCCTTGGTCACAGTGATCATGGACTGGTATTGAATCCCAATACCATACCTGAACCGATGACTGATTCTTTCATCAAGAGCGGAATCACGTGATAGCGCGGGGTTTTTGTTCCGCTGGGCTTGGCGCTCGGCCTGATGGATTTATAAATGTCCGAGATTGCCTGGTAGTTAATTATTGCATTGTAATTGTAATTGCATTCACTTGCCACCCCCAACTCCCCCGCCCCCCCCCTCTCTCCCGCCAGAATGTACCACTACAACCCTTTAGCTCGAATGAAGCTGTCGGTATGGCCCTAATCCCCTTCTTGAGCCTTTTTCATCGTACAACTGCTGACCTTATAAATGTAGTGCACGAGATGCAGGACCAGGAAGGTTTGCGCTTCCCCCCCCCCCTTTTCTCCGTGCTCTTCATCAGGATTGCTGATGGGATCTAGCTGCGATGCGACAAAGGGGATCCCGAATGTAAGAGATGCGTAGATAGCGGCCTCTCATGCTCATATCCGCAGAGGAGAAAGGCTCGGACTACTCAAAGCTCCGAGCTCCACCACCTGGGCCATCGTCTGGAGGCACTCGAGGAGCGTATGAGGGGCACAGAGGCACCACCACATCCAAGGACTACACCCCCCATATCTCCCCCGACCCAGAGCAACGTTCAGACAGAAGCAGAGTCGAGGGATATTCCTACCGAATCATCCGAGCCCCGCAGTAGCAGTATGGAACAACCTGGCCTTCCCCATGGTAGGCTGCATGCTAATGAGAGCAGCATGGATCTATAGCATGGTCAGCGGAGCCAAAGACAATATCGAACACCTCACCAGCAACGCGTCATCATCCTGGACGCGGTCAACTGTAGACATGGCGATCACCCGGCTGGACACGGCTCTGGTTAACCTGGCCGCCTTAAGCCCTAGACCCGATCACAATGTCACCGACGAACGGAGAAACCACTTGCCAGTCAGCGATATTAAGCGCTTCATAGACGGTAAAATCAGTTCCCAACGTGACTCCTACCACCTTCCAGACTGACCGAAGCGATAGTATTCCTGGAAGTCATTCTCCCCAACCTCAGCATATTCGACTCCTTTGCAACCCTCGTGGACTCCGAGTTCCTGCGATCCATGCCCCATGTCATCGGGTCACCGTATGCCATAATCGAGCCAGTCATGCAGGTTATCTATTTCAACGCGATATATTTCGGACAAACTGCTGGCACAGGTGCAGAACAGAGGGCAGCGGCGAAAACCTACTATCGCGGCCTGCAAGTCATTCCGAAGTGGTTGGCATCGGCCCAAGGCTCGCATCTAGACCTCATCGCTGCGTCCTTAACGGTAAGTGGGGTGTGTGCAACTCCTCCCAAGTGAGAATTGACACTTGGTGCAGGCATGGATGGGAATCAACAACTTTGACTACCATTTGTCATGGCAGTTCCACCGCGAGGCTTGTCGCTTCGGAGACCGACTAGGCATCCACGAAGTAGATTCACTACCGCTGGGCACTGCAGAAGAGGAAATCGAAAAGGATGTGAAGCGGCGAATGCACTGGTATCTGGTGGAAATGGACCTTCTCTTCAGAACCTGGTACGACAAGCCCACGGCTCTGCGGTGTCCGGTCGGCCAGGTCCGACTGCCAGCGGAGATATCACCGCAAACCAAGCAGCCCAAGCCCCATAACTGCATTCTGTTTTTGGTCTGGTCCCGAACCCTCTTCATCATGGCCAACTTCTTCATTCAATTCGACGCCAGTAGGGCCAGTGACCATCTCAATAGCACGGCGAATGCGTGCTGCATGGAGCTAGAAGAACTGGTCAATGACTGGGACCTCTTATCACTAGCCAGATCGCCCAAACTGGGCTGGGTAAAATCATGGCTCTTTCTCGAGACGGTCATCGCGTTGCATCTTTTCATCATCTTCGTGAGGCGGAAAGTGTCAAGTGCCGAGCAGATTGTGCACCCACAAGCAGTTCGTTCCGCCAGACTCATCATCGGCATTATCCTCGAAAAATCAGAATCTCCAATCTCGCCCTGGGGGGAACAGGATGACTTTCAGACACAGTGAGTTTGCAGCCCAGGCCTTTCTTCTGCATGGACATTCACCGCTAACCCAACAAGCTTTCTGACATTCTATCCCTTTGGCGCCTTCTTCACCCTGTATTATCACATCCTGTCTTCCACCCAACCTAGTGAGTACGAAAGTGACCTCTGCACGCTCGAGAGGGTGGTGAACATGATGGTCGCAGCAGCTGCCATCCGCCCCGACTTCGCCCCAATTGCCGACGCCGTGAGTGCCCTTAACGATGTCTGTCGGGCATTTCACTCGGGTCAGAAGAATCCTGCTTTTACCATCAACTCGTCGGACATGCTGCCAGACAACCCGCTGGCTCTGTTACCCAACGAGAAGGAAGCCGGTTCGTCGACCGTTGCAGATCTACCGCCGCTTGGGGCTCTCCAGAATCTTGCCTCTATCATGCCGCTTCAGACGGATGAGGAACTGGATTACGCGTTTGGGATTCCCTTCCAGCTTCAACATCAGGTTGTACCCAGCACGCAGTCTGGACTGGTCACGGAGAAGGAGACAGCGCGGACCATGGCAGAGCCCTTGGAATTTGTGCGAGCAGTTGAGAACGAGTTGACCTGGCGTAACTGGCACGAAAGCTGGTGGAATTCACAAGCACCTGGACCAAGCTGATACGGTCTAGACTCCACTGTTCACCGAATGCTACAGCTCTAATGGGTTTAGCAGAAATTGCATTAAGCTATGGTCACAATCGAAAGCTGCAGTGATCGAGGGGAGAAGACGAAAGACTACCAATACAATTACTGCACATCGCATCCTACCAACCTCATCCTTGCTCGCAAAATTCTTCTCGCACATGTGGGTCGTGTGTTATAGCCGTGAGAACCATTCAGTGCGGCAACCCGTTGTTGTAGCTGAAGAAGCCCTGGGGATCCCACTGTTTCTTCAGTGCCAACAAGCGCGACAATTTCTCGGATCCATACATAGGGTCCAGTCCCTCTGTTCCGTGCGCATAGCTGACGTAGATATGAAGATCGTCGAACCCGCTGGTCGCGTTGAAGGTCTCCAGAGCTGCAAGGGCAAAGTCGTCGACAGATGTTCCGATGGATGAATCGGTGAGGTTGAAGGAGAACATTCTAATCATAAACACCGGGTCAGTCATGCGTCTGCTGTTATCTGCAGATGTGCGCAAGGACAGGAGGTTGAGGAAGTACTCATGAGCACGGATTTCTCGATGGGGATAGGCAGTCGATGCATCAGCCACGGCCGTCACAGCTTGGACAGGAAAGTATTCCACCTGCCAAGTGCTCCCGGACGCGGCCGGGTAATCCGACCAGAATTGTGCGAGTTGGTTGAAGTAGGCGATGTGGGTGGCCGCGTCAATGGTGCGGACGCCGAGGGACCACATATCGTGTTTCTCGCCGTTGACGCAGAAGGCCTTGGCAAGACCAAAACCGGCGTCGGCGTCGACCGCATCCCAGGTAATCATGGAGATGTTGCGCTCGAGATAGGTGAGGTTGAGGAACGGGGCCAGGAGGTCGAGACCCTCTTGCTCGGGACCAGGGTACACGGCGTTCAGAAGGATCACGGGCTATCACACCCCAGAGAGGATATACGGTTAGAATTCAATGATGGACTTTTAGGAGAGGAGAGGGAGACTTTGACTTACTCCTGCGGCAGCATCGTTCATCACCAAGGTGTACAATGACAACGCCGCTGGGAGGGTGTCATAGCTAGCTAGAATCTCGAAGTAGGTCTCGTTGAGCTCGGCAGGGAACATGAAGTCGGCATTGAGTACGTTGCCCTTGTTGGTGAGATCATACACCTTATATGTGGCCGAGGTGACGATGCCGTAGTTGAAGCCGGCGCCGCGCAGACCCCAGAATAGGTCTGCGTTCTCCGTAGCCGACACAGTGATGAGATCGCCCTTCACCGTGACAAGTTCCACGGACTCCAGCGCATCGATAATCAGACCGTGCAGACCCTGATAGCGCCCTACTCCGCCACCAAGAGTTGCCCCTACCATGCCCACGCAGGGGCAGGATCCGGTTTCTATTGGCATTGCCCACTGGTTAGTAACCATGTTAACCATCTTTAACATACCGGGAATACACACGAATTTCCTTTCCAGCATTGAAGAGAGGCTCCATAATTTGTGAAAACTTAACGGAACCACCGATGGTCATCGTGCTCTTCTCAGCATCGATTTGGATACTGTCGAACGATCCCATATCAATTTGAAGCCCCTGCTGAAGAGCCCCGAATGAGGTGCTATATCCATGGCCACCTCCGCTGGCCAAGAATGGTAGATTCTGACTGGTGGCGAATTTGACCTGTAGCCAGGATGGGCATAGTCAGCGAGTGGTACAGGACTTGAGGACCGATCCGCCAACATACAATCGTCTGCAAATCGGCGACTGAGCCGGGCTTGATAGCCAGTGAGAAAGTGGGCTCATCCCAGGCGGTCCATCGCTGGATGATATCGCCCCAGTCTGCATCTTTGGGATAGAACACTTCGCTGGACGAGGAAAGATGGGGCAGAAGAGCAGTGATATTGGATGCAGCTGCTCCGGCAACTATGGACAGGACAGCCAGCATTTGGGCTGGGCGAACTGCAGCCATCGTGGCGAATTTCATCTCCGCAGTAAAAATGGTCTATTGTCTCGAGAATTCAATATTGCACTGTGGGGAAAACTTGCTCTGCGCTCCTGAAACCTGGAATACAGGCTGGCTTTTATACCCAGGAGCAGAGTACAGTACACGTTGGATTCTGGCGAGATAATGAAATCCGCAGATACGGTATGTACAACATGCCACTCAGCCTCGTGGTTACACGTGCTAATCCCAGCTCCCACGAGGCAACAGTACCTGCATTGCCAAGGCATGAGTTCGCCGAGATCGAGCTGATTGAGATTTTAGTCGATCTTACGAGATCTTTCAGCCACGTTCTCATGCATGTCAGGTCAGAAAGGCGGCTGTGGTCGTGTCAGAATGTCAGATCAACCTCGTGTCAGGCGAACACGTGCGGAAGATATATAGTCTTCTCACTGTGAGTCATCCATCAGACAATATCTGATCACCATCATCATCGTTGTTATTTGCCATCATGGGCTCAATCTCTACCACCGCGCATCCTGAAAGGGCCCACTCCGAGCCTCGCCGGCTTAGGGTAGTTCACGTGGGGGCCGGGGCAGCCGGCCTGATGACGGCATACAAGGCTCAGAAGATGCTATCGAGTTATGAGCTAGCCGTATATGAAAAGTATGTCGTTGAAGGTGTCTGTGTGAAGTCGCTTTGACCTGACCTTTGCTAGGAATACTGAAGTTGGAGGGACATGGTTTGAAAACAGGTAATTCCATATCATAGGACATGCGACCAAGAAGCCATCGGCAGGCTGGTGCTAAGGAGCATGAGACAGATACCCAGGGGTGGGCTGTGATGTTCCCTCTCATTCGTACGCCTTCACTTTTGAACCCAACTCCGAGTGGAGTGGATACTACCCCAGGGGAGAGGAAATCCAGAAATACATGGTGGATTTTGCCAAGAAGCATAGCCTCTATCAGTATATCTCCTTTCAAACGGAGGTTACCCAGGCTCGTTGGATTGAAGAAGACGGTGAATGTTCGTCTCGCACATCTGACTCATAATAAGCGGTAAGCGTTACTGATTCTGTTTCAAGGGCAACTGGACCTCAAGAAAAAAGATGGGACCTGGTTTCAGGACCGATGCCATGTGTTGATCAATGGCTCGGGTCCATTAAACAAATGGAAATGTTTGGATCCCATCTCATGTTTCTGACCTTCTGACCTCTGGGCTAACATGGAAACCAGGGCCCGATATCCCGGGGATTGATACTTATCGTGGCATACTCACTCACCCAGCTAATTGGGACCCATCCATTGACTGGAAAGGAAAACGTGTTGCGGTCATTGGTACTGGCTCAACGGGCATCCAACTGATTCCTCAAATTGTTAAAGGTATAGTACTATGCCCTACATGCGGGTTGATGAGCTGCCCCCGAACCAACGCGAATGAACACTCATCATCCTATCCCTCTCAGATGCCAAGTCCCTGTCCGTGTTTGTGCGTTCAACGCAATGGATTGTGCCTCCAGCTGCCTGGCAGGATCTGCGTCTGTTTCCTGATGACCCCGAGAGATCCGCCATGCCCGCCCCCTTGGGCAAGCACTTCTACACCGAGGCCGAGAAGGAGGTCTTCCGCACCGATCCTGCTCGTTTCCTCCAGTATCGCAAAGCGGTCGATGGAGTCATGCAGGAGCGGTTTCCCATCTTCCTTCGTCACCATCCCCTACATGACATGACCACTGAAATGATCACACAGATGATACAGTCCCGCGCGGGGCCGGATCGCGAGGACATCGCCCAGCTATTCACACCCACATTTTCGCCCGGGTGTCGCAGACCCACGGTAGGTTGCATTCAAGGATCATCACAGATGAACGTGAGCATGCTGACAGAAACAGCCCGGCGATGGCTTTCTCGAAAGCCTGACAATGGACAGTAAGATAACCTCTTACAATGTGGAAACATCACTCTTGGTCACATCATTAACCAACCATGCAGATGTCCGGGTGATTACGGACCCGATTGAACAATTCACCGAGAAAGGGATTCAAACGACTGGCAACGAGGAGAGGGAATTTGACCTCATCATTTGCGCTACGGGCTTTGATGTAGCCTTCGCACCTCACTTGTGAGATTCCTCGCTTCTGCACCTGTATAATTATGGCTGTCTGACATGACCAGTCCCGTGGTTGGTTCTCAGGGCCAAACCATGCGCGACGAATGGGCCAAGGTAAGTGGCCTGCCACCGGGCTGAGCGCAATGTGAGATGCTGAACAATCACAGTCCCCGAACATCTACCTCAGTATGGCGACGCCCAACTTCCCCAACTTCTTCTTCATTGGTGGTCCCACAGGGAACTGGGCGCAGGGATCAGTCTTGATCACGGTAGGAGGTGTCTGAAAACCAGTTTGCCAACGAAACCCATGGCTGATGACACAATCCTCATGTAGCACGAAGCTCAGGTTGAATACGCCCTGCAATGTGCGGCCAAGATCAGCAACGAAGGCTTGCACTCGTTGACCCCGAAACAAGCCGTGACCACTCAGTGGCGCCGCCATGTCGATACCTGGCATGACACTCACTCGGTCTGGGCGGAGTCGTGCCAGTCGTGGATGAAATACAACGGTCGCATCCAGCTGTGGCCCGGAAGTATGCTGCATATGCTCAAGTCACTGAAGAGCCCACGCTTCGAGGACTACGATATCAAGTCTCGCGAGCAGAACATGTGGGCGTATCTGGGTGAGGGACGAACCGTTACCGAGTTGAGAAGGGAAAAAGGCGAGGCGGTTGACATGGCACCGTTTATGCGAATTCACGATGAGCCCTGGTCGGTAGAATAGACTGTTGAGAGTAGATAGTGATTTATTGTAGGCACCTGATTGGTGTTTGCAAGTGTTCTGCGTCCTAACCAATGAATATGCTCGTACGATTGACTTTTATTCGGCTCTTGCAACTAGTAATTCGTGGTGGACCAGCCTTAATGCAATACTTTGTTAAGATAGTCATTCCAAAGCATGGTAGGATTTTAGTTTAACCCTGACATGCGTATGGTGCAGGTTGAGGGTATGCATTCTTTGAGGTGCCAGTGAGGGTCCCTGCGGGGAGATTGCCAATATCCAGCCAAGCGTTGACAGGGTAATAGCCCCGCTGAATCGTGTCCTCGAATCTAATCAGTGTCGGCCGTTCGAGTTGGTTCCCAATGGAAGCTTGAAAGGCTGACGATCTGATAAGCTGACGATCTGACAGTCTGACAGTCTGACAGCAAGGCTGACGGTCAGACATCGGGTTCACACCATCTGCGCACCCACACGTGCGGGGGAACGCCTAACCTATATTGATCCTCAACCACCAGGACGACAGAAGCTCAAATCAAAGTCGGAAACCACTTCAAGTCTCTAAGATTCATCGATCAATCATGTCTCAATCCGCAGGCTTTCCTACCCTCCGCCCCGCCTATATTCTCAAGGTATGACTTGCCCCGACAGTGTGGGTGTTATCCGACCAGATACCAACAAGCAGGAATAGTTTGAGGTCGGTCAGGGCCAGCCAGTCGGTACGCATGTGTAAAATCTATCCCTCGTGTGTCCGACAACGGCAACTGACCTGAACGCATCGCGCGCACAGGGCCCACCTCCTCCGGCTCTACCTTTATTCACTACGTGAGCCCCCTCTATATATCTCAGCATGGGCTCTTCAAGCTTCTAATAAATTCAACTGTAATGCAGTCTTCTCCGGGCGGTACAATTACTACAGTCGAAGGATTTTCCCCCCGCATCAACGCACAGGTAGTTGTGGCCGGAGACTGGCTGTACTTCGATCCCGATCAGCAACATACGCGGATGAATGTCCACGGAATAGCGAGGTGTGCTTGGAACTCCAATCACTGGATTTTTGAAAGTGCTCTGTGACTAATGCATTGGCATGAAGAACCACCGAAGATGAAGTAAATATTTCATCCCTGTCTCTTCCACCTCCATTGGGGCCCTCCACCGGAACAACTCATACTGACCATAGACCAGGGAATCAAGTTCAAATATTCGGGCGTCTCTACTGTCTCTGAGGACTTGGCGGCCATATTCCAGGGTCAACCGAAGACGGTTGCCTTTGGGCAATCAAGTGAGTACCTCTCATCCTAGAAGAGTACTGCCCTCTTTTACCTGGAGACAGTATCTAATAAAGTGTTTGCAGCAATGAACATGACTTTCGAGGTGGGCTCGCCTAGAATAAAGGCACTGGAGAATAGCAACTGGGTGGGCAATGGCCGATTTAAATTAGAGGGAGATAAGCTCTGGGTCGAAGTGCGCATTGCCCAGGTGGTGGCCAGCCAGGATATGGATTGACCAGTCCTTGGCCAAGGACAGTCCTAGCTAGGTTTATGGGCTTCTGATCTTGTTCGCTCACCCAGACAATCATCGTCACGCAGATCCCTAAGTCAGAGAGTGTTCGTTCTTGCCTACTACTATTTACGTGGTTCGTTGTTTTTGATTATCAACTCAGATGTCATGTAAAAGTGCAAGTAGTATCAAAATGTGATTTATTGCGGTCTGGCAGGACTAAAGATAACTACTCTGCATACAAAGTGCTCGTTCGCCATTATGCTCGAGTTGATTTCTTCTCGAATCTTCTGGTACAGTGTCCCAGATCATATCTAACAGGAACATAACGAGGAGGCTTTCCTCGGCGGCGTGAGATAACCTTCAAATGGCTACTACCACCCATACAATTGTGACTCTTGAGCACTGTGCTAGATCCAGGGCGTGATTGTATTCCTTGTCAATCTAAAGGCACTGAGATAGATGAAATACCACGCATATCTTGAACCCTACTGCTTTGACAACAGTATGCAGCCAGGAGGCACGAAACGACCCAAATTATCGATCCTAGTCAGAGCCAACCCCTCTAAACACTCCGTCCTTCGTATTCCTTCTCCAATTCGCCCAGGAATCCCTCCAATGGCTTGCCCTGGACCCTGACCTCCTTACAATCCAGCAGGATGTAGAGCATCCGGCCGGGCTCAGTCTCCCCACCCGTGATGTTCTTCCACTTGTGGGAGGTCGCCCGCTGGACGCTCACATCCCCGCGCTTCATAATCCGTGTCTCGCCGGAGTCCAGGGTGAGCTCGAACTCTCCCTCGAGCACGATCCCGTAGTCAATGGACAGGGCGCGGTGCATTGGGGATTCGACTCCTGGGCCGAAATCGATCATCCGAGCCACTGTGCCGTTGGGGATGTGGAGACCTGGCTGTGGGAAGTGTTATCAAGAAATCAGGGGAAAGGAAGATGGTAGGGAACCGCAAGAGGAAGATGAAGAAAAGTAAACGAACCTCATTCTCGCGAGCATACTGGATACCTTTGCTGTCGTTGAGATCGACTGGATTCTCCTGGGTTGAGTACAGGATGTTGGCTACGGCTTGATTCTCACCCATAATGCGGTGGTGGTCGCCACGATCGGTGACAAGGAAGTGGCCTTTGCCGTCCTCCTCGCTGTGGCCGGTGATCAGTCGCTGCGTGGCGCGCAGACCAGGAGCAGGGAACCCATTTGTAGAGATAAAATTAACAGCGGCAGTGGTCGTCATTGTGAAGGGGAATTGACCGTTGTGTAATTAGAATGGAGGATAAAAGCCCAATGTGCTGTTGATATGAAGAGGAGGGAACATTTGTCCCGATATATATTGAGACACCGTGCGTTAAGAATAGATACTACTTGACGCATCTGACGGACCCTGATGTCTGACCCCTCTATCTGACATTGTCAGAAGTCCTATCTGACAACCCCAACTTCAGTCGTGCTACCACACGTGAAAGAGTTCGATGGCTGCCCACTCTTTTCCTGGTGTCGGAAATCAAACATGGCTACAGAGGGTAGTTCCTCCGTCCACAATCCAACTGCTCCCCGTGACATAACTGGCGCGCGGGCTGCATAGGAACAGAATCAGGTCGGTGATCTCGTCCACCTGTGCAATCCGTCCCATAGGCACAGACTGGGCAATCAACGCCACGAGGTCGGGATTGTCTTTCACAGCGCGGTCAACCATCGGGGTGTCGACCCACGACGGACAGAGGCAGTTCACGCGAATCCCGTACTTGGCGTTATCTAGGGCTGGGGGGACCCAGAAGGCGTGTTGATCAGCTTCGTCGTCTCGAGCTCATCTCCACTGTACCCGCTTTATCGTTGATGACTTACCAGCATTCCGGGTCAGTCCTAGCACTGCATGCTTGGACGTGGTGTATTGCGTTAAAGCGGGGGTCGCGACGAAGGAGGCACAGGATGCCATGTTGAGAATCACTCCGCGCGTGCAGCCCCGCTGAGCATTGCGAGCGCTGACGAGGCGCGCCTCCTGCTCCTTCATCGTGCGCGAGACATACTTGGTGAGAAGAAAGGAGCCCGTGACGTTGACGTCAAGGAAGCGTATGAATTCCGTCAGGGATGCTTCCGCAATCTCCGCGGCCACTTGGACGCCAATCTATATACGAAAATAGGGTGAGCATTGGAGGATTGTGTCTGTTCAAGAGTTACCTGGTAGTGAGAGCTAAGATAAGAGACAGAAGAAGGGAGTACATACACCCGCTGAGTTGACCAAGTAATCAATGGTCCCGAAGGACTGCTGGGTTTTGGTCACCACCGCTTCCACCTGTGTTTCGCTGGTCACATCGAGGGGCATGACCACCGCTTGGTAGGTGGGGTGAGTGGCGAGAGCCCTACTTTCCTCGGCGGCCTGCTGGGCAGCCTCAAAATTTAGGTCGGTAAAGGCCACCCCCGCGGCGCCTTCGCGGGCAAAGGCCAGGGCGCAGGCTCGCCCAATGCCACTGCCGGCCCCGGTTATCAAGGCGTAACCCGTAATGTCCATGCTGTACTCGGTAGACAGAGAGTTGTTTCCGTGCTTTCCTGGCAGACCATGGCCTTTCAGCGGGTCAATATATCTGGTGCCAACCTCGTTGCTGATTGGCACTGCGGGTGCACTCGGTGCACGGTTCGCCGCGGTCAGCTTGCAGGCCGGGCCTGCCTGCAGTCAGAGTCAGAAAGGCGAATAAGCCTAAACGGCTGTGTATCAAACTAGATCTGGGGCTGATATAAGCACTAGATAGAGACTAATTCTGACAGGAGTAATCATCGTTCATGTTCTAAGGGCTGTCTATTTAATGATTCCACGATGATTTAAAGAACTTGCGTGGACAAAACATGAAGTACCAATATATACTCTGAATAGCATGAAGAGAAATGCAAAGGTGGGCATCAGTCGTAGCCTCAGTGGTAGATGACGAAAGACAGGACATGAGCAGACCAAAACAGGTACCAACTAATCAAGCGGAATAGACAGCAGGACTCGGGGAAAGATTAATAACGATATGAAGTGGTCGGACATCCGACACATCCGACGCCTCCGACGCCTCCGCCGCCTCCGCCTCCGCCTTCACTTCCGCCTCCGTGTCTCCTTTTTTCTGCCTCGCATCCCCGCCCAATAAACCCTTCCGTGGACGGTCGGAAACGGGGGGTGTAATCGCAGAGAAAGAAGAAGAAGAAGAAGAAGAAGAAGATGATGATGATGATGACGGTGAAGAGCAGGGATATCCATACTCAATGTGAGCATTGGGCTGCATGAGCATCTCGGCCAGAGCTGGATGAGAGTGGGACAAAATCCGAGCCACCTGAGCGATGTGTACCGACCTGTGGCTGTGGCTGTGGCTGCTGGGATAGGGCGAGTCGGGCTGCCCCAGCCCCGTCCCCAACGCCGTCAGGGATCCACAATGGTGGCATATGCCCCGGAAATGGGCTGTAGGCCCCGGCTGTGGTGGGGCCGGGGCGGCCCGGCGTTTCTTCCGGGCGGCCGAACAGCTGCTCTCACCTCTGCCCGCGTTGTTGGTGTTGGTGTTGGTGTTGGTGTTGTTACTGTGGATGTGAAATATGCGGCTGCTCCAGCGGGATCGACGGGCCGGCGACGGCGGCAGCGGCAGCTGATCGGCGGTATCCGGAAGCACGGAAGTTGGACAGTCATGATGGATATAGATGTGGATGTCATTGCTGGATTGAGTGGAGGCTCCCACCGTACTTGTGGCTACCCCGGGACCAGGAGTGGAGACATCGGAGACCAGAGCAGGGTCCAGTATCAAGGCCCCTTCGTCGATCCTTCCCGACCCAGCAGCCAAGTATTCGTGATCGGGGCCTTCGGGCCAAGAGGGGTTATCTAGCGCACTGAAGTCGAGGGTGGAAGAGCTGTGGACATCCAACTGTGGCGTCATCAAGTCGAGATCTAGTGAGGGAGACAGCGGGTTGAGGGGGTCAATGAGCCCGTCTAAGAGGAAGTCGTCTGCCACAGCCGCTCCCGAAAAGTCCAGGTCTATCTCTGAAGCTGACGTGGACCTCATGATGTCAAATGAGATCGGCTGGTTCTGCAATTTGCGCTTTGCGCCTGGCATTGCATGGAAGTTTAGTCGGTGCATCGCAGCCGGGCTAAGTCTGTAGCAGAAGAGACTTACGTAGCTTGCGTTGTGAATTGCGGTTCTGAATGCGTTTGCGCAAGGCCGGTTCGGAGATGTGACTCCAGTCCTCCTGGTCAATCATTTCCTCCACCGGCGATGTCGAGGCCATGGAAGCTACAGCTATGGAACAAGAAGGCAAGGATGGATAGGCAGACAGGCACAATGATCAGGGATATGACGAACTTCCAGAGTGAGAATCGGATTGCAAGCACCACGCCGTCGAGCTAAGCAATTGTACCTCGCATCTATATATAAAGCCGCATCATGAGGAGAAACAGAGACATATGGTCTCAGCCCGTTTGCAGAACCCTTGCTGCCGTTCCACTAGAGCAAGCACATATTTGTTCTCTGAACCAGCTAGTGCAAGCGAGAAGGAGCGCTACTTGCAGACATGTTGCTGAGCCCGATAGGTACTGTAAGCTGATGAGCCTCACCAGTAGTCATAGCACCCAGTGACAATGCTGGCCATGCTCCTCGGGGCTTGCCAAATGGTCCGCGTCCGCGTCGCTGGCTGCCTTAGATCAAGACCGGACGTACCGCAGTATCGAACAATCACCTGGGAATCTTCACTCGACGAATTCCATTAGGTCCGAGTACTGAGTCAGATCGTGATTGACTGAGCGAGATAGCGAGATAGCAAGATGGGGCATGATGGTCGGACGAGCCGAAAAAGGACCAGCATAGAGCTCAGGATGTCTCTTGGAATCCTCAATTCCTTCAAGCTGGGTCACCCAATCCCAATGGGAAGCCTTTCTACTGCAGAAGAAGCCACTGGTTCATTCTTCACCAGAAGCCATTTGATTGGAGATGAACCTGCAATACCCCGCACGTGCTGACATCGACTAAGCACTGATGGCCTGCAGAAAGCTCGGGCGGAGAAACTCCTCAGAACTGTCAGCACTAAGGACTCGGATTCTACCCAGTAGGCACATTTTGGGGCCGTTGGACTTGCATTCTCACCTTGCATCTGATTGGCGAGGTACTTTATATGCCGCAGGTGCCGCGTGTGCCTCGTGCACCAACTCATACCTTGTACTCTGACACAGTCCTTCCCAAGAGCTTATCAGCTTACAAATTATCACGTCAGCTGTAGTGGAAACGTTGGAAGTCGCGGAACCCCGTCCCGGCCATCTGCTTGGTTGGGGAGACATGGTGGAATATTACCTTACAGTCCATAGATGGTGATACCGTCACTACCGAGGATCATCTCATTGGCACCTCAGCGCTTCCTCCGGAAAGTATTCCCTCCGGATCGCCAGAAACCACTCCCATAACTGGGCGGAGCAGGACGTGCCCTTCAAGCGACGGGCAATTTCGTCGATGAGCCTCTCCACCCGCCCCGCGAGGAACCATTCGCCGCGAGTGGGGCGCAGCAGAATCGCGTAGTATGCCAAGAGCAGGAGTGCACCGGGGCGATCCTGCTTGAGTAGCGTCAGATAGGCGGGAGCCACGCGCAGCGGCCAAGCGTTGAGGGCATCCCAGACGGAGGCGGCGGGGCCCCGGCGCCGGAGAAAAGCCCCGGCGGCGGCAAGCTGGACCGCGGCGGCCCGGTAGGCATCGTGCTCCTCAACAACCTCGGGGGCAGGGTTCTCCGCGACCACCATGGCGAGCAAGGTCCCCAGCAGCGGGTCTTCCGGGCCATCGGCGGACGGACCGCCGACGCCAAGGTCATCCTCCCACAGGGCGGCGAAGGGCGCGAGGGGGCCCGCGGTGAGCGCGTCCCAAAACAGGCAGAGCATAGAGCAGCCATTGCGGAGGATGTTAATCCAGTGCAAATGTTGGTCGGGGTCATCACTCAGGAACAGGCGCGGGTCCTCGGTGTCGGAGTTGAGGGAGCAGATGACGAGGAAAAACGCAAAGGCCAGGACTGCCTCGCAGTTGTCGCGATCGACGTGCAGGATGGCCTGACGAAAGGCGGGAATGGCTTGGTCTTGGTGCCGGAGGGATTGGAAGACATAATACGTGCGATTAGCCGGGTCGATGGAGGCCAGGTGCAAGGCCGCACACGCCATGACCCCCTGCCTCAAGAACTCAAATCGGGGGGTCAGACCCAGAACGACCTCGCCAAATGCGTGGTCTGTCTCGGGGCTAATGGAGAGGGACTTGTAGGTCGAATGCCGATAGTGGTCGAGAAGACCTTGGTTGGTTACGAGCCCCAACGAATACTGGTCCAATGGTAGAAGCCGACTATCCAAGTGTGTTGTACTGGTCGCCGGGGTAGTACCGGTCTACCGGCGCAGGAAGTAAACATCAGCATTGGTAGACAAGATTGAAGATGGAAGGGTTGGAAGAGTTAAAACCGACCGTACTCGATCGACCATCATTGCTGACTTCGTCGACGCTATATTCCGAGGGAGAAGCTGGGGAGGCCACTAACAAGGACGGATTGGTGAAGTATCGCAGGGCGTTTCCCCGGAAAAAGGTCTGTAAGGGGACAGGGGTCGAGAAGGTGCTCTCATTCGAGGTGGGAATCTGGTGGGTGCATCGCCAGTGTTGCTTCATGCGTTTGCTGGTGGCGCAAAGATAGCCACAGCGCTCAAAGCGGCACGCCAGCCCTTCCTGGATGGAGAGGAAGGGGACCGGAAACTGGCTTTCATCTGGCAAGACTATATCCTGCGGCTGGGCCAGCTCGAACTCCGCAGCAAAGGCGACAAAGGTGCGCCGCGTTGCACGAGAAAGATAATGGATCTCCTTGAGATGACGCGCAATGGCCCCGGGCTGAATGGCGTAGCGGCATCGTAAACAGACCAGCACCCGGTAGGTGGGCAAATAACTCAGAAGTTGAGAGGGGGTGGTCGGCTCTTCTGGGGACTGGGACTCGACTTCTGCGCCCATCATGGGGGTAAATGACAAGAAAGACCGCACTTGAAAAGTTGACGGCTAAAGATTGGGGTTGGAGGTGAGGGGGGGGTTGAGTGAGATCCATGGGAAAGAAGAGGGGAGAGGAGAGGAGGAGAGAACATACGTTAACCACAGTGATCTACAGTGATGTACGGTAATGTACGGTCATCTGGGTTTAATAACTAACTAACTTACTGGGATGAGGATGAGTCAGCCCCCGACTGTTTCTCCCAGTAAAGTTCATCCAGTTTACCACGGTACTATAGGTATACTTATTCATCCTCAAATCACTTACTACAACATTGACACTGAGCAGCTTCCATCTGGCATTATCGGCAGTTAAACAATTAGGTAAAAGAAACCAAATACCAAAAAAAAAAAAAAAGAAAAGAAGAAAATCAACCAAGCACGGGCAAACACAGCAAGAAATTCACAGAAAATAAAATCAAATCTGCGACAATAGCGCATTCACGTCCACAACTTGCTTCAGCTCCGAGATCGTCTCATCCCAGACCTGGTCTTGAGTGATTCTTCCCGCGTCGCTATCCCCGTAGCCCGCAAAAGGAGCAGGCTTGTTGTCACTCATGTACTGGCCATTGGAGGGCTCTCCAGCCAACACCGCAGAGTGAACCAGAGTACGGGCTCCCATCGACACCGATCGACCGATCACCCTCTTCATCCCCCCCAAAACCTTGCCGAATGCCCCTTCCGCCGTGCGATGGAGTTCGGAGCCATAGCAAAAGCCGGGGTTCACCAGGTTGAGAATGGCCCCCGTGGAGCGTTTGCCGGGGGATCGATGCTGGAACAGCTCCAGAAAGAAGAGCTGGTAGAGCAGCTTCGAGGTATAGTAGCGATCGCCCATGTTGAAGTGCTTGGGGTCATCTAGGACCTGGATTAGAGGCCGTCGCTGACTCCGTGCAATCTGCGCCTCCTTAAACTTGGCCCATGCGGCGGTTTCGCTGCCCACGATGGAAATGACCGGACGAGGGCGATTCAGATTCTGGGCGGCCTGGCCATCGAGGACTGGAAGCAGAAGCAAGGTCAACAGTGCGGTACCGAGCCAGTTGACCTGAATACTCGTCTCGTGGGAGGTGGCCTGGTTGACTGTGAAGTGGAAGTTGGCCACTCCCGCGTTCAGAAGGGCAAAGTCGATGTGGAGCCCGGACTGCTTGAGGCGCTCGACAAAGGCGAGCACACTGGCATAGCTGCCGAGATCCAGTTCCCACACCTCGACCACGGGAGCCTTGGCAGAAGCAGGCAGCGATGCGAGGAGGGATTTTCGGGCTGCCTCGCCCTTGGAACTGCTGCGGACCGCTAGGATTAGATGCGATAGCCCCAGGCCCAGCAATTGTGCCGAAGCTTGATAGCCCAGTCCAGTGTTGGACCCGGTGACAATGCCGGCTTTGCCGCGAAGGGAGGTAGAAGACGGAGCCTTGGAGGGGCAGACTAGGAACTGGCGATACAGGAAACCAGGATAAGTATTGTAGAACACCATGGTGATCCAACTGAGGATAAAATCTTGAGGGAAGAAGATACCGTGACAGAGGAAAAGCAGGTAGGTGTGTGCAGTTCACCCATTATATAGCTCCTCTGCCGCGCCCCCCCCACCAAGCCCAGTGCAAACCAAGAGTCGGTCTGGTCCTCTGATGAAATGTGCATGGATAGGTCATGGATAACGAGGCCACGGTATGGTAGGATGCCACTTGATGGTGTCCACGGTAACTTACCAGGTTATCTCCTGGTCTCTTGCATGAGTCGGTGGAGTCCGAGTCCCAAACCGACGGTGCCGTTCCCGACGATGATTGGCTGGCTCGGATTTAAGCAGTTCCCCCGACGGAACCGAGATGGGAACCGAAGGTGCCGTTCCACCTGACGGAGGACAGTCTGTCTGACGGTCAGACCATTCGACTCACATGCTGCTTGATCTGTTCAGCATTGAAGAACTCTTCCTCGCTCTGGAGACACCACGTGACTGTAGGTTTGGCATAGTTGCACCTCCCCGAGGCCAACGTGACCGCCTACCGGAAGCGCGAATCTGGCAGGCAGTATCTACCTCACCGTACCTCGGGCGGTCGCACCTGCATGAGTTATCTATCTCGGGACGGTCCCGTGGTCAACGAGTACTAGTATGACACAAAATTGGCAAGCGTTAAGGAAAGCTTATAGCCGGAAGGATAGCTATTTTGAGTACGAAATAAACTAATGATATTCTGAGGAAAAAGTCACTGCGGCTTCAGAAGCCATCCTGGGCTTTCAATGCCAAAAAGAGGCAGATCGTGGACAGGGGAGAAGGGCCCGGGACACCTGGCAGGAGGGGCGGATGTCCGTTTGCGAAATCCGGCAAACCGGTCGGAAGAGCCTGGCATGGCAGGCGGTGAATGCCTCCGCCCGACTAGCAACTGCCACTGCCTTAGGCATTAACTCAGGCAACCTCTCCTTGGGAAGAGTGTCATCATCATCTACTAAATGCTAACTAATGCTTTCTGCTCGCAATCTTGATCCAGAAGTTGTGATGAACCAACAACGCCAGGTTTTCCTGCTTCCAGATGGGTCGTGTCCCATTATTGATCTGGGGCCTGAACAGGCGGAAGAACTAGATTGCCAAGGAGCCATGATTAGTCCTGTTAGGTGAAAACGCCGGGCGAGAACCCCACTACGAGGCGGTAGACAAGAAACAGAACACAAGGAGATGCAGATACCTGGACAAGCAGCTTATACGTCTCCAGCAGGGCGATGTTTTTCCCCAGGCAGATGCGCGTCCCGTATCCCCAGGTCAGGATACATTTGTCCATCAGGGCGATATGGTCCGGATCGGCCACCAGCCAGCGGTCCGGACGGAAGACATCAGCATCCTCCCCAAAGACGCGGTGATTCCGGTGCACCACATACGGGTTGGCTCCAATCTCCGTCCCGGCAGGGATATGCTGGTTGTGCAGCGTGAGACCCCCCGGAGACACGTAGCGCGGAATGATCATCGGGGTCGACGGCTGATAGCGCATGGTCTCCTTGTAGCAGGCTGTGAAGTAGCGCATATCTTTGATCTCGTCGTATCGTGGCACCGGGGAAGTGAGGTCGCCGCGCTGGTCGTACTCGTCGATCTCCGCCACCAGTCGCTCGTATATCCCAGGCGTCTCAAGGACATAACGCACAAAGCCACAGAAGAAAGCGGCGGTGGTGTCTGAGGCTGCAAACATGAGCACGAAACACTCGGTCTTGACCTCCTCGAGCGTGATCGGGGTCCCATCTGGGTTGGTTGCGCTCAGAATATTGTCCAGGAAGTCCCCTTGCTTGTGAGCCTGAGGGTTATTCAGTCGATCTGCCAGCAGCCGATCACGAAACTAGAGACACCGGATGGATGAGCCTTCATCATGTTTCCACCAAAGGTGTGCTTTACGTACAGCCATGATTTTCCCCGTGCCCGACCCATCACCCGGCTTGGGCATGAAAAACTTTCTCGTGATGGGATTCTCCAGGAATGGGCGTGCGAGCCAGGGCAATGCTCCCACAACCGCGGCAAACGGGGCCATCTGATGGAAATTCGCGATCAGGTTCTCCACGTCGCGCCCCTGGCTAACGAATCCGATGGGCTCGCCAAAGGAGAGTTGGCAAATCATGTCATACGCAAACCATCTGTTACACACACACACAGGGAGAGAGAGAGAGAGATGAGTAAATGATTGGGATGTGATGGGCATGAAACCTACTGGGACCAGGCAGCAAAGTCCAGTTCTTCGCCCGTCTCCACAAACCGCTGCGTCAAGATATGAGTCCACTGCGCGATGCGCTCATCGACCTGCCCTTCGAGGTGCTTCAGGTTGGTCAAGGTGAACGAGGCGGCAACCCTCTTGCGCTTGATAGCATGCTCCTCGTGTTTGAGAGTTTGGAAAGGTGGAGCAATTTCACCGAGCACGCCTACGGTATAGACATCGGTCTTGTCCACTCGCCGATGGTAGATGAGCGGTAGGAGCATCGGATCATCAACTGCCAAGAGGTTCGGGGCAGCGCGTACAATGCTCCCATACTTTTGATGGTATTCCAGACCCAGCGTGTGGGCCTGCTTGGTGTGCAGAATCCAGAGTTTGAAGAAGTCGGACACCGAGGCCCAGAAAGGGCCGGGAAATGCGCGGAGTGGATGGAAGTAGCGGTTGTAAATGCCTTGACAGAGGACATAGCTCACCAGCGTGAGAGCAAGGACACTGTAAGTGTACATGATGGGCGGGTGTGCAGTAAAACCACCTTACTGCGGGTGGAGATCAGCTCGAGTTCTTTTATTTGATCATTTCTGACACAACCTGCATGCATGTACACAGGCTGATGGTCAGAAACCCCACTTAGCCCACAACTTACGGTGGTCATCCTGGAAAGCCCTAAAAAGAATTGGATCGATTCCTGGCCGACCAACCATCATTTTGCTCATAGCGCAGGTGGGCTCTCCTGAGTCATCTTGGCAATTCTGCCAAAGTCGGATCTTGGCCAATTTCAAGCTAAGTATGTTACGACTGGGCATGTTCACAATAAAGGCACGAGCCGTAACTAATACACAGGTGTGTCCCAGACTTTTTCGAGACACTAATAAGTAGGGCCGGGTACAGTAACTCCATGTCACCCAACATATACATAGTAGATCGACTGAGGATGATGTGAAGGTACATGGGATATAAATTACAGGTTCTTTACAACTGTAACATGAAACCGAGCAAGTCATGAGATCCAAGAGCTTTAGTGCATCACCTCCGTATCTTCAACTGTGATGCTCTTGATTTTATCAAATATGCTCATGCTCTCGCTGGGGATAGCTTATCAGTGGCCGATAAAGCTGTCTCGAACGACCATTAGTCCCAGCCGCACATTTGGTCTCCCAAGCCCATGGTACAAGATACAAGAACGAACCTTATAGTTGAGGATGAACACCTAGTCAGCAGTGGTCTCGCTACAGGGTTGTGGACAAGTGAAGATATTGCAAGCAACTTTATATCTTATCTGACATTCTCACAGCTACAGACCTACAGGATGACGAACGAAAACACAGACACATCCCAATCAAACCACCAGCTTGCTCTCCACCGCGTTGGACAAGCTCTGCAAGGAGGAGGTATCATTCAGCACCTCCAGGAATGGAATATCTACCTTGAACACAGTGTAGAACCAGGAGCGGAACTCGGAGGCGATCATGCTGTCCATTCCATACGAAGTGATGGGCTTATCCGAGACGATCTTATCCAGATCCATCAGCAGCAGATTGGAAAAACGCTTGCGGACCAGGAGGAGAATGGCGGCATTCAGAGTCGCCGCAGTGGCCACCTCGGGAGTGGTCGCCATGGTCCTGAGGACCCCTGCAGGGATGCCAGCAGCCCAGGGGAGGGCGGACACTGAAACGGTGCTGACAGAGGCTGCATTGGCGGACGTCGAGGCGGAGGGGGCATCCAGGGAGGCAGATAGAAGAACAGCGCGGGGATCCTGCATCGTTCCGTTGTTGACATCGAAGCCGCGATCGAGCAGTTGACGAATTCCGTGCGGTTCAAGGCCAGTGAGAATGTGAGAAGCCGCCAAGGGGTCGTAGTCCAGACCCGGAGCCTTCGAGGTTAGCCCGGTGGCTGCTGTGTGTGCTAGGGCAAGATCGATGACCTGGATGAGCTCGGCTTCATTGAGGGGCTGAATGCCCTTGCGCAACAAGAGGGCCTCGATCTCTGGGTTCTCATGCAAATAACCAACCTCGGAGATCATGCCCAGACCGACGGAGACGATGGGCTTGTCGAGGCCGCGCCTGTAGCGGGCGAAGGCATCCAGGAAGCCGTTGGCAGAGCAATAGTTGGACTCGGTGGCGGTGCCCACACTACCCGACACGGATGAGGTGAGAAGGAAGAAGTCCAGCGCAGCGTCGCCGTGAGCCTCGAGAGCATGATGGAGGTTCCAGGTTCCCTGCCATTTGGGCTGGATGCCCGTGTGCCAGGCCTTGGGGGTCATGGTCGAAAAGAGCGCCTCGCTCAGCCCCATCGCCGCCTGAATGACTCCCCCGATGGGTCGAATGCACGCCTCGACCGCCGCCTGCACGTCCTCAGCGTTGATGATATCACCCCGCACGACTTGAACAGTCGCCCCGGCTGCCTCCAGGCCAGCAACGAGATCGCGCGCGGCCGGCTTATCACATCCAGACCGGCCCAGAAAAGTGAAGTGACGAGCGCCGCGCTCGAACATCCACCGACTGAGGCTCCGGCCCAAACCACCCAGGCAACCCACGAGCAGATACGATTTGTTCGCGTCGAAGGTGGTGAGGTGACGGGCATGAGCCACACGGATCACACTGAAGGGATTCTGTAAGGAGATCACGACCTTACCGATGCGCCCTTTGGTCGAAAAGAAGCGGTATGCCTGGCTGATCTCGCTGACGTCGAAGGTGGTGATGGGAACAGGCTTGACCGCACCGCAGCGGTAGAGCTCCAACGCTTCCGCAAATTTGCTATGGTTGGTTAGGATGGTCAGCAACCCAGAGAACGAAACACTCGGAGCTATAGGGAAATCCAAGCAGCAAGAAAAGCAAACTTACGTAGTCCAAATGTTCCGGTAGTGCTCATCTTGGTGATAGAAGAGTTCGGTCAAGTCGAATGCGGTAAAGGTGGCATTGCGTAGGAACATGCGCATGTCGAGGTTCCCAGCATCAATAATATCGCGCTTCCCTACCTCGACGAAACGACCAAAGTTGGCACAACATTGCCAGGTGGCGTGAAGGAGGTCCCCAGTCAGGGAGTTGACAATCACGTCCACGCCGCGTCCGCCAGTGGCCTTCAGCACCCCGGCCACGAATGAATCATCGCGCGAGTTGAAAATGTTCTCCCGGGGTACCCCCAATTCAGAGACAAGGTAATCCTTCTTCTCTTCAGTACTGACGGTGGCATATACCGTGGCGCTGCGTTGCATGGCAATCGCAATGGTAGCGGCTCCGAAGGCACCGGCGCCGGAGTGCACCAGGATGCTCTCACCCGCACGCAGATGGGCGCGGTCGTCAAGAGCATATAGGGCGGTGCCGTAGATAACCGGTAGTGTGGGCATCACATCAAAGCTCTCCTGGGGAAGCATCTTTTGACATGCCCATGCCGGCACGCGTTCTACCGTACTAAAGGTGTTGGGTGCGAGCACGACGACACGATCGCCCGCCGCAAGATGGGTGACATCCGAGGCCACATTGCGAACAATGCCACTGAACTCAATGGCTGCGGTGCCTTTGCGAGTCTCCACCTTGCCAGAGAGAGTGTAGATGTCTTTGGCGTTCAAGCTGACAGCCTTGACCTCGATTTCGACCTGGCCCGCCGGAATCACCGTGGGGCTGTCTGCCAGTCTCTGGAAGTAGATTGAGTCCGTGATTCCCACACGCTCAATGGCCAGACGAGCCGAGGATGCCTCTTCAAGCGTCATGGTGTCGATCTCGGCTGATTCTTTCTTCCGGAAGAGATCGTTGAGTGTGGTTTCAGGCACGAATCGACTCACATGCACGAGGCCATTGTGCCAGACAAATTCCTTGTCCTCCGCCAGATCGTCGGTGCGAAGAATGTCCTGGACCTTGCCGCAGACATCCAGATGGCTTGCATGATCCGTCAATCGACCTACATCGAAGGTCACAAAGCGAAGTGCCGGCTGTTCTAGCATGAGCGCTCGTGAGAGACCACCAGACAGAGAGAGATCTGGTGCCTCGCCCTTCATGGTAGCAGTTCCGGTCAGCCAAATGAGGTCATGGGCATTATCCGTCACAATCTTGAATTTGGTCATCTGCTCCGGGGTCATGGTGGGCAGAAACGGGGTCTCCAGCTCGAGTAGAGAGATGACCGTTGCCCGCGAGATCATCTCCGCCGTCACGTTATCCAGGGAGGCAACAACCAGGTTCTCAGACCCAAAGAATTGTTTGAAGACATCGGCAATCTTCAAAGCGTGCTGATGCAGCAGAACCAACCGGTTGTGAGATGTGCGCAGCGGCCGAGAAGGAACGACGAGGGTGATGCCGAATTGCAGGTTTAACACTGTATAATCACGGCCCCCCAGCTGAGCTAATGTGAGAGACCCTGTTCGCGCCACAAGTATGCCATTACTCTCGACTAGGCTGAGCAAATGGTTGATCTGGGCCATAGATCGGCCTCTGGCGTCGTGAGGGAGCAGAACCACGTCGTACTTCCCATCGACCTCCCCGCCGTCCGCCGTCTTCCACTCTCGAATCCGGGGAAAATCCGTCTTTTGGTCGAGGATATCCTGCCACTCGCGTGTCTTGCAGTCGCATCCATTGCCAAGCTCCAACACGCGTAGGCGTGGGTTCTTGTGCGCAGCGAGATCTAGCAGGGCGGCCACCACGCCAACCTTGGTGTTGTCCGCCAAATCAGAGTGGCTGTGGAGGAAGTGGGTGATGTAGTTTCGGAATGGCATTTCGTCGTCTGCGGTCACCCGCAACAGATCAGGTTTCCATACGACACGCAAACAGGGGTGACGAGCTAGGGAGGAAGAGTGCTCAAGCTCGGGGCGTCCCATGTACAGGGATAAGCGAACTCCCCGCAGATTGATCACCGCAGAGCCGGAGTCATCGTTCAATGTGGCGTCAATAGTCTTCGTACCAAAGCCAGTGCTCTGGGACTCGGTATGGATCAATCCGGCCGAGTTCACACTCTCAATGACTGGGGTGCTGATCTCGCAATGGTCGAGGAATACAGGTAGGTGGGCACGAAGCTGTCCGAGATTTCCCGCTGTGCCACCCATGATAGCGGCCTGCAAACAGGCATCAATAGTGAGGGGATGAACGGTATAATAGTCACCAGGATAGCCCGACGACCGACCCCTGCGCTGCAGAATGGCGGTTTTGGACACCGCAGCTGGGTTGACTCGCCTCTTATCCGTCTTCATAGATGTCAGGGACTGAAAGGCGGGCCCGAATGCGAGCCCTTCCTTGGCCAGTTTGGCATACCAGGACCCCATCGTCCATTCCTCGTAGTCAACGGCGTTAACTAAGACCGTAGGCGCAGGGGCATCAGTTCCCAGCCTGATGCGGCCAGTGCAATGCAACACCGTGCTTTGCTCCTGGCGGGACGAGATGCTGAATTCATACCAGTTGCTGGAGGCAGCCGCCTTGGAGATGCGAGCCGGGGAGACGGTAGTATAGAGATCGGCCTGTTGCTGTTCGTCGGCGTATATGACCAACGCAGTCGCGATGTTGACATTGCGCAATGAAAAGGAGGGACTCGGTGCCACAGCCCCGGTAATCTGAGACAGCGCTTCGATTGCCATGGCGATATAGCCCGCGGCTGGAAAGACAACCTGACTTTCCAGCTTGTGGTCCTCCAGCCAGGGCACCTCGGATAGCCTCACTGTATTCTTCCACACCCGGTCAATCCCGTTCAGCGCAGCCATCTCCGATCCCAACAACTCATGACGCGGATGCTGTCGGTTACGAAGATCGCTACTGAGTCTCGACTCCCGCCACAGTAGTTGTGTATAGCTCCAGTGGTATGGGGGAAGATCTGGGATAACTCTGGCGGTGGCAGGTGCAGCGTCATTGACAGCCATGATGTCCAGATCGTGTCCACGGAGATACAGCTCCCCTGCAAGGACTCGCAGGCAAGAGATGGCATCTTTGTCACGGACCAGGGTCGCACTATATGGGACATCATCCACGGACTGGGCCAGGAAGTTGCGGATCTGCTTGATGGGCAACTGCAGGGCGGAGTGCGGCCCAATCTCGATCAGATGAGACTTTCCCTTCTCCTCCAGGATGCGGGTGATGGCAGCTGTGAATTGAACGGGACTTTCAAGGTTCTGGCGCCAGTAGCTCAGCGGCAGGGTCTTGCTGGTTTTGCTGCTGTACCAATTGGGGCCATCGATGCCCACACTGGAGAAGAATCGCACCTCGCGCTCACTGGCGTTGGCCGGAAGGGCTGGCCAGGCGGCCTCAATGAGGCGACTGTATTGTTCCCCAACCTCCTGCATCATGTACGAATGGTAGGCCTTGCCACCAGTCTGTAACTTCCGAGCGAACTTTCCCATCTGCGAGGCAGCCTGTAAAAGGGAATCGATGCCGGAGACGCTGCCCGAAAGCGTTACACTCTCAGGCGAGTTGACACAGGCAACAACTACTTCTTCTTGCAGCGATAGCTTCTGAATCAACTGCTGGGCATCTTCAACACTGCCCCCGAACGCCATCATGGAGCCCTGAGACCGCAACTGTCCGACCACATAACCTCGATAATAGGCAACCATGATAGCCTGGGCCTCACTCAGCAAGCCCGCGGCAAATGCAGCCGCAATCTCGCCCGACGAGTGGCCAGCGACCATCTGAGGGTGGATTTCCCACGAGGCCAACAGCTTGACGAGTCCGATCTGGACGGCAGTACACAACGGTTGGGAAAATCTCGCATCGCCCACCCGACTGTGAGGCGCAGATTCCAGGAGCGCATCCCTGATCGACCACTCAGGCGCCTCGGGCAGACTTTGGAGCACATTATCGAGCTCTTCAATGGTCTTACGGTAGACGTAACTCTTCTCCAGCAGCTGGCGACCCATCTCGGCCCACTGAGCACCCTGGCCTGTGAAAACAAAGACGAGGTCACGGCCCGGGAGAGCAGTTGAGACCAGATTCCCCACGGTGAGATCGGTCTTGGCTGTTGCCGGACTGGCAAGAATGTATCCTCGCCGAGAGAGCTTGGAACGGCGGTTCGCCAGAGTATGTGCCAGACTGACAAAGTCTATCTCGTTGGCATTCTGGATGTAGTGGCCCAAATCGACTACCCGGGCATCCAGAGCCTCAGAGGTTGAGGCAGACAGCGGAAGTAAAAAGCTCGTGTCGGGAAGTGGGTTGTCGCCTAGAGACTGCGGCAATTTGTGGATGGATGACAGGTATTGAATTGGATCTTCCAGAATCTGTCCCTGGCCAGTCAGCCTCGATAATTATACCCCTTCACAATCGAGCGGGGGAACATACCGTGTGGGCATTAGCACCCCCATAGCCAAAAGAGTTAATACTGACACGGCGCACATTCGAGGACCAGTCGGTCAGCCTAGTCACAATCTTCATATTCCACTCATCCAATTTCACTACGCGCGTTAGAATCGTTGGCTTCTGTTCGTCGTCAAGCGGTGTGCTAGGCGGCACTTACACTTTGGATTCAAGTTGACCACGCCAATGGTGGCAGGAATAGCTTTGTGCTCAAAGGCAAGGATCGCCTTGATCACGGCCGTGATCCCACTGGCTGCCTCGCTGTGGCCGACATTGGTTTTATTCTTAGAGGACACTCTTGAGTCAGCCCATACATAACAGAATCAAGCAGAAGGAGACGAAAAGGAAGTGACTTACAGCACCAATGAGCAAAGGTGACCTTCCTTTGCGCACGAAAACTCGACTCAGACCCTCAACCTCCATGGGGTCGCCGACTGCAGTGCCCGTGCCGTGGCACTCGACGTATTCGGTGTCTTGTGCATCAATCCCAGCCACGCGGTAGGCTTTGCGGATAACTTCGGCCTGTCCCGCAATACTGGGCTGAGTGATCCCAGAGGTTTTGCCATTTCTGTGCTCGTTAGCAGATAATCCTAACCATATGTCGACAGAACAAACATACGCATTTACCGCACTGCCGCGGATGACCGCACGGATGGGATCACCATCTCTCAGGGCAGCCGACAAGCGTTTGATATACAGGGCACTGACACCCTCGGCACGTCCGTAGCCGTCAGCGCTGGCATCAAAGGTATGGCAGGTGGAGGTTGGGGACAAGACCCCTCCCTTCATGGTACCGAGATGCTGCTCCGGGCCCATAATCAAGTTCGCCCCAGCCACCACCGCGCCTTCGCATTCGCCCGCCTTGATCGCAGTGACTGCACTGTGGAGACAATAGATGGACGATGAGCATGCCGTATCGAGTGTGAAACTGTCATATCCGTTAGATCGTCCGTGCTGGTTGGTATGGCGTGAAGAGGTTGCACATACCTAGGACCACGAAGATCGAAGATATAACTTAGTCGATTCGACAAGATTGCCGTCCCTGAGCCCGTGGCACTGTACCGGTGCAAGGCCTCGGGATCTCGGGCTTGCATGGTTTGGAAGTCCACCGTGAAGTTGCCGACATAGACTCCAATGTCGGCCCCGGCCGCCTGTTGGAGCGATACTCCGGCGCTTTCGAAGCATTCGTAGACCACCTCTAGCAACTTTCGTTGCTGTGGATCCATGTATGTTGCCTCCAGGTTGTTGATCCCAAAGAAGGAGTTCTCAAACTGGCGCACATCCTGCTGCAGAAAATAACCTCCGCGGGTGTTCATCACCCCAGCACGATCACCCTCGGGATGGAAGAACCCGTCTGCATTGAATCGGGTCTTTGGTACATTGCATTGACCCGAGCGTTCGTTGATCAGCATCTCCCAAAAGTCGGTAGGCGAGGACACCCCCCCGGGCAGTCGACAAGCTGGAATCAAAAGTGTTAGCCGTAGGCTGTGGGTTCATTCAGACCCGTAATTTGGACACTCACCCATGCCGACAATTACCACGGGGTCATTGGGGTTGTGTTCGAAAGACATTGCGGCGGGCGATGGTGATGAGCGAATCTACGCTGCGGCAGACCCTAACTATCCTGAGTGGAGATTGTCGAATTGGTGGTGTTGGGTTCGTTTCCAATCCTCCTCCCAACTAACGTTGATCGGGATGTCGTAGATATACACGATGTCTGACGACCGATCTGACTCTCCGTGCAGAAAGGATGGCCATGGCTGATTTCGCTATCTGTCAGACGCAGGATGGAATCCCGGTCAGACTGGTCAGATCGATGCTTTATCTTACCGTAACTCGCCTCCCCTTCTGTTATCCACCACACTAGAATCAGCCATTATGGTGACCGTTCTAATCACAGGGTAAATCGCTTTCATTTCTATCTCCTTCTTCCTTTTTTTGTTTTTGGTTTCCCCTCTCGAAGAATAAAGAGCCCCCGTGTGCTAACCCGAGGCATCGCCAGTTGCGGGAAGGGGGGTATTGGCGAAGCTTTGGCACTCCAGTACCAGGCCCACGGTTGCACAGTGCTTGCCACGGTTCTACCGTCGGAATCTCAGGAGCATCTTACCTCAGTTGGCATCCAGTGCTTTCAGTTAGACGTGACCAAGGATGAGTCGGTGCGTGCCTTGTGCAAAGCGGTGGAGACCAAGGTCGGCGACCGACTGGACATTCTAGTCAACAATGCGTAAGCAGTAATATCCCGGTTAGTTGGCTGATCTCGTGGCGCTGAGCCCTAACATCAGACAGCGGTATATGTGAGCGTGAGGAATTCTACGCTTGGTCAAGGCTGTACTCATGCATGCAGGCTATACCATGACTGCCATCGACACCGATGTGAGCCAGGTGCGACAAATGTTCGACGTTAATGTCTTTGGCCCGATTCGCATGGTCCATACCTTTCATCCTTGGCTTATTCGAGCCCAAGGATGTGTGGTGAACATTGGATCGGTCGGCGGGATTGTGCCGTACATGTATGGCTGTGAGTCCTCTGGGAAGATCTATCATGAGGAGGGTGTCGCTGACCTTGAACCTGCAGCTTCATACAATGCCAGCAAGGCGGCGCTACATCACTGGGGCAATACCCTTCGCGTTGAGATGAGTCCATTGGGGTCCGTTGTTGCATCCCTCCATCTTTACCACCATCTTCCAAGCTAAATCAGTCGCACAGCGTTCGAGTCATCAACGTAACATTCCCGATCCGCGCCACCTCGACCTAGGACTATAAGTCGCGCTATGCTAATGACGAAGTCTAGATTATATCTGGCAATATCGGCACCAATATCCTGACGCGCGATGCCTTCCGAAGTCTTCCGCCGAGTCCGTGCTCACCCAATCCATCTCCCCTCCTCTTCTTCTTTTATCTTCGAAACTAACATTCTGGTCGCCTTGTTCATAGCCTCATTCTATGCGCCGCTTCAGGAAGAGTTCCGAGCCCACGTACAACGTGTACCGAGTATGTAGCATGTACTGCACCGGGTCGTTCCTACCATACTGACCAGATGGCCAATCGACCAGATACTACGGATCGTATGGTGTATGCCCGGTCGGTGGTGCAGCAGTCACTGCGACCGTGCCCGCCCGCGTGGTACTGGGTTGGGAACACCTCGACCTTCGTTTGGCTGATGGACTGTTTTGCCTTTCGCACGGTCTGGGTAGGTCTCTCCGCGGTTGCCGATGCTTCCATCTAGCGGGGAAAACAACTGACGACAGCAGGACCTTCTCCTATGGCCTATTTTCCACCTTGGAAAGTTGAAGAGTGCAATGAAAACCAAGGGGGGTCTGAAGTGAATTGTGCGTCATGATTGCACAGACAATGTGATAGTGTTTACTAGCTTCTTTACTATGGTGGAGTAGCCCTCACGTGTTTAGCCCTCGCATACACCGTCGTGCATTGTCTCTTCTCAGTATTTAACAGGAAGCCCGAGACTCCGTCAGGTTAGATATGCTGACTTGGACATCCACCTTTGTTTACCTTGTTACCTTGTTTACCTCGCAGTTGCAGTCCAGTCCCAAGACCTCCTCGCACATGCTGTGCACGCTGCGGATCTGCGTGTAACGGCACCGTGGGCATCCGATTGAAGCGGCCGCATACGACGCCCTGGGCTAATCCGCGGGATTACGAATGCTACATCTGATTCTGATCTGCCTCCCCGCTGTGGTTGCCACCGATCGACCGGCCTCCGAACTGACGCCCTTTTCGCCGCGAGCTTTGGCCCACCCTTGAGCAAGAGCTGCTTGGCGGTGGTCGTCCCAAGTGGATGGTTCGCGACCAAACGATCAATTTCGCCATCGGTGAGTCGCTAGCCACTGGCTTGGCAAAGTTGGCCCCTACAGTGAAATATGTTCTGGTAACTTCCCAATATAGATGGGGATGCAGTGAGCACGCGGCCAGATAGTCACGGCTCTTGCTCCGCATGAACGAGTTCTCCTCTGGATATGCCAACTATGTATGCTAACCCTGCGCCCCCATGCAAACAAATCTTCACACAGCAGCTCAAAGACGGTGGGATGACATGAGATGACAGCTGGACGGGGGCTGTGCACCCACTAGCCCGCTCACGGACCCTTCGCTTAGCCATCCCCCCATGTTGCTTAGCTATCCACTAGCTGTCAGTGCATACCACTACTTCAGGGCAATTTCCCCCTTCCAAGCCACTTCGCACATCACAAATACCTGGGGTGCTCCCCCCCTGAAAGTAGCCCGTGGTGCACATTTTCTCGAAAGGTCAATCATGTACTTCCACCTCCTCGCCCTCCTCGGCGCCACAAACATTCTGACTGCGCTCGCCGATACAACCCAGCTGGCTACCCCCGCGGTTAGAACAGTGACCGCCACCGAAGCCGTAACGGGGACCGACATTGTGGTTGGGGTCACTAAATCGGTTCCAGGCGAGACATCGGGCACGCCTCCTTTTGAGTCGGTAACGAGTACCGTCCACCCTTTCCATCTAACAGGATGCCTGTCGGTTCTAGAGACTGCTGTGCCGACGAGTTGGTGGGAGAGAATGAGGACCGACCCAGCATTCTTCTCATCGGAAATCCTCGCGGAGAGTTCAGGGAGTATGCCTGCCTGGTACTCCAACCTGCCAACTGCTGCCAGGGCTATCCTTTCCAGTGAGGAAGCGATGTACGCCTCCCTGCTGTCCTCCGAAAGTGCCCTGGCCACTGGATGGGACCCAAACTCCACCGCAGGCTCGCCTTCTGCCTCATCCGCACCTTCAACGGTCAGTTCCACTCGATCGAAGACCTCCGTCTCGACCGGGGGCGCAGCTGTTGCTACTGGATGCTGGGCCATGCGCATTGCCAGTGTGGGAGGTATCCTTGGTCTGGCGCTGGCACTGTAAGGGGGTGGATGGAAGGGGAAGAGAAGACCCTGGCCGCTACACTGTTCATCCTGATCGAGGCAATTCCATGTCAGGTGTCAATGTGGGCATACTTTGGATGTTCGAAACTGTTGCTGCGGAGCAGAATCAAGTGAAGTCTGGTACCCACAGCCCGCATAACCTCATTTGTGAGCCCAGTCACCCTGTCAACATGATGTAAGTCTCTTCATCATATAGAGTATTTCCATTTTCTCAGGAGACAAGTCAATGACGCACGGGAGTCGGCCACGTCTTGCCCCAACTCTTTCTCAAGCGGTGGGTGCCAAGGAACTATATAAGGAGAGCGAGGCTTGGTTGCTGTCCCAACCCCGGCGTCGAACTGAAAATCGATAAATTGATAAATTGATCCGTATATACTCCCTCACCTACTGAAACCACACCATCAAGATGGCTGTCTCCTTTGCTCTTTGTGTTCTGCTGGGTTGTCTGGGAACAGCAGTCGCCGACAATGCGCAGGAGTCCACTCAGAACGGTCAGGCAGCCCGCAGCCCGCATTGCCTGTCGCGGGCAACTCCAGTGGCTGACCTCCTCGCCAGGCATTTCGCAGGAATTGTTCGATCGATTTAGCTTCTTCGCCGAATACGCGGCCGGCTGCCACGACGGCGTCGACTGCGGTGCGGGCAATTGCCCCAATGTGACCAGCGCCAATACCACCACGGTCGCAGAATTCAACTCCACCAGGTAAGAAGGTGTCGTTCTAAGACCTGGTCGAGAGAACCCAGATCCTAACTCCCGACCGACAGTCTCTACAACCAGGGAGTCTCCGGCTTTGTGACGCTAGACCACACCAACGAGCTCATCGTTCTTCAATTCGGGGGCACCAACACGTGCCCGAAGGTCGATGTCGACCTCGACTATGACTTCGTCAACGTGACGACATTTGGGGCAGCCTCGTGCTCGGGGTGTCAGATCCACCAAGGGTTTTGGAGGACGTGGATCAACACCAAAAACGTGACGCTACCACCGGTGGAGAGGGCGATGGCCCAGTACAGCGAGTACGAGGTTGTCTTCGTAGGGCACAGTCTGGGGGCCGCGCTGGCCACCGTCGGAGCCGCCGAGTTTCGTACGCACGGCCCTAATGTCACCGTGGTAAGTGAGCCTGGCCGGTGATTAATCAGAGCTGCTGCGGAGAGCTGAGAGCCAAACAACAGTATAGCTATGCATCACCCTCGGTGGGCAACTTCGAGCTGTCCGAGTTCATCAGCAATCAAACCAACGGAGTGACCTACCGACTCACCCATTCCGATGATATCGTTCCCCGGATCCTATACGACGCGGCCTGGATGTGGTTCATTCCCGACTATAGTCAGCTGTCTCCCGAGTATTGGATCACCACACCCTCGCATGTGACGCCAAATGCAAGTTCTATTCAAGAATTAGAGGGCATCAACAATACAGAAGGCAACCTGCAGTATGGCCTTCGGGACGGACCAGAGCCGGCCGCCCATCTCTGGTATATCCAGAACATGACCATTTGTCCCGGCCCGATCCTCAGTCTCCCCGCATGCTGTAACGATACTTACCGCACACAGGAACTCTGCGAACTGCTCGGAGTCCAGAATCTGACAGCTGCGACCGGGACCTGATTCTGGGATCAGGAGACGCTCTTGTGAACAGAATCGATATCATCTCCGTCGGTTCTGTGGGCTTTCGTAGCCACGCGGCAGATCCATGACATACGGGCGGCATCTATCTGGTGAGGCTGATGTATCTTCACCGGGCATAGTCCTCTTGATTCCACCTCCTTTGTGCGATTAGTTAACCCAACCCCCCCCCCCTGCAAAAAGAAAAAGAAGAAAGAAACGCACTACGATCGCTCCAAGGGCGGTAAACCTAGCGTTAACCATTTATTTAAATAAATAGATGAAAGGACACTGTCTCAAAACTCCAAATTTGGTGGAAAAGCAGACGCTCGCGAGGCATATCAGATGCAAGACCATGATCGTACCATGTGGGCAGGTGGTGTAGGCTGTATTGAATCGACGTAGGACGTAGATGATTAGCACGGCAGGCTAGCAACCGTCCCTCAATCTTTTCGACAGTTTTCGACTGGCCCAGTCCGCGATGGCCATATTGGTGATCATGGGATTCACGCCGCTTGCACTGGGGAAGATCGATGCATCCATGACATAGAGCCCCTGCGTACCCCAGACCTGGCATTCCGGATCCACCACCCCCTTACTCGCCGTGCTCGCCATGCGACAGGTTCCCATCTGGTGGGCACTGGCATAGCCGGCCTTCTCAATGTCCAGGGGAGATTGCTGGCGGAATCGCGTGATCCATTGCTGCAGCTCCGGATTGTTGATCCCCTCCTCGTCGGGGTCGTTCTTCTCCTGTTCCGATCGGCAAAATGGGGGCATATCCGCGTACGAGACGTGGAATTCTTTGGCGCCCGAGACATAAGCGATCTTCGCACTGGCGATCATTGCCTCCACGGCACTCTTCCGGTCAAATGCGGAGGGGGTGTAGGCCACGCGGATGCGACCGTCGACGGGGTCGGGATAGACGCGACCGGAATCACGGTCCCGGGTGACGGCAATATAACTGGTCATGGCGCTCAATTTGGCACAGAACAGTTTGTAGTCGAGGCCACTCCGCCAGGGAAAAATGGGCAGGAACAGCGGCGGCATGGTGACCGTGGTTTCGATCTTTGCCCCATGGCCCCGGCCATCGAGATTCTCAAACTCCTTGACGACTGCCGTCAGGGCCGAGCCCTCCCAGGGTCGGATTTCCTCGTCAAATACGGCCGCACCGAAGAGAACTGCCGATGAGGAGAATGGGTTGTTAGGTCCTGGTGGCTTGACGGGACGGTTGCAGTTGGCTTACCTGGGTGAATGTGAAGATTCCGGCCGATGTGCCAATTCTGTACCCCACTGCGGAGAAGCAGCAGAGGGCTGTTCAGTGTACCGCAAGAGACGATCACTTTCTTGGCCTTGATGACCACCTTTCGGGTGATCCCCTGCCCCTTCTGGCCCCGGGACAGATACGCCTCGCGGGAGGTCCAAGTCCCTTCCACTCCGGTGGCGATTCTTTCTTTGCCCCGGGTGGTGAAGGTGACTTTATCTGCCTTGAAGCCTTCGACGAAGACCGCCCCAGCCTTGGCTGCGTCCGCCAGCCAGGTCTCCGTGGGACCCTTCTTGGCTGCGGCGGAGCATCCCATGGTACAATACCCACAGTAGTGCTCCTCGCCGCCCGTGTTCTGCGGCACCACCTCGGCCGCATAGCCCAGTTTGCGTGCTCCCTCGAGGAGATCGCGGTTCTGGCGATTGTGCCGAATGTGGGCCGCGCTAACGCCCATGCGAGCAGCGACGCGATCCAGCGACTGTTGAAAGGCGGCGGAGGTGAACAAGGGCAAGCCCCCGTCCTCGGCCCACTCCTGGCGGACAAAGGCCTGCGTCTGCAGCGCCGCCGACCAGTTGACGGTGCCCCCGCCACCCCACGTCGATCCAGCAAAGATGGCCACCGAGGCATCATCCGTGAGAATCGACGCCCCGCCCTCGAACAGGCTGACGGGGGCGGTCCGGCCGTCCATGGGGAAGTACTGCGAGGGGTAGTGGTACGCCTTCTCGACCACCAGCACGCGGTGCCCGGCTTCGGCCAGGTTCTTCGCCGCCACCGCACCGCCGCAGCCACTGCCGATGACGACTACGTCCGTCTCAAGGATTTCCGGTTGCTCCGTCTCGTTCTCCTCGTCATGGTCGCTCGGAGGAAACTGGACAAATTCGTACTCCCAGCAACCCGGCGCGGACTTGCCATGCACGGGGACTCGGGGGAAGCCCACGGCGGTAGACAGGGTCGGGCTGGCCACCATCCAGGTGGTCTTGAACATGGCGGAGAGCGACCGGTAGATGAGGCGGATGGGGCTTAATCGCGACGAGGCCCATCCGGCAAAAACCTGCTCGCGCACTGCCAGGGGTTGGTTCTGGATGGGGGTCGTTGACCCGGTCAGAAGCAGGGATCCGGCTCGGGTGCTGGCCAGGCCCGACTGATTGTTAGCCCATGTGCATGTATCGATTCTCCAGCCACCTACTTCAGAACGTCGAGGATGAATCGCAGCCCCGTCTGGCCTTCCTGATGGACGTAGTCCGCAATCAGGCGCTGGAGGCCCTCGCGGAAGGCCGGCAGAGACGATGGACTCTCCTGCAGATAGATCCGCGCTACCTCGGCTGCTGGAGAGGCTGTTCGACTGATCGTGGCTGTGAGTCTGGAAGTCGCCGATTCTAGCTGGGTCTCAGTGACAGCGTGGCACTTGGTTGACGAGACCTCTGCATCATCGCCCCGACCACGGATCGACGGGATCACTGTGTCGGCGAGGGCCAGCATGGTCTCCCAATGGAGATCGGTCAGAACCTGCGTCGTAGGTACCGGAGGAAGATCGACCTCGGCGGGAGTATACCCGGTCATCTTGGCAGGAGCCGCCTCCATACTGGTCGTGGTTGTAGGTCGTCTATGTACCGGACTACAGCTACAAATGGCGATCATGCAATCGAAACTTGGAAGCAAGAGCAAAGGGGAGGGACCAGAAGAAAGGATGAAAATCGGGGAGTGGGAGGAAGAGAAGCGAGTCAGTGGCAGCCTGCTGGCTCCTTCGATATCATAAATAAAATCATGCATCCGAGTGGGCGGCCGACTCTGCCCAGTCTAGATCTCGCGGGCGGAATAAGCGAGGCATGGCTGACAGCAGTGGGGTTTTGCTAATCTTAAACAAGACAGCACGAACTGCTGTGTGGTGCTGTGCTGGCAATTGTGGCTGGCTGAGTTCACTGCCCGTCAACCTCCACTGGCACACCGATCCACCACCGTATTCAGCTGGGCCCAGCCGATTGGTTCCAGTAGTGCAGTGCAGTGCAGTGCAGTGCCAGTGTGTTTACCACATATGCTTGGCCAGCTGGCAGGTGCATGACTGTCTTTCCGGCCAAAGCCGTTGGCTAGAAGGCTAGAATGGAAAGAAAGATCCGAGACTCGGGCCACTGCCCTAGATCTTGACCACCTCAACGGCTTTGGGGAGCAAGATCAAGAATTCCCGACAAGAACAATGTAACTCAACTACAACTGAAAGAACAGAAAGTCCGTTGTTGTTTGGTAGAGAAAATTTGTTCTTGTAGTGGGGAGACTTTGTTTGTCCAATCCCGATTGCTCCGCGCGACGCACTGTATTGCTGGGTATGT